ACAAATCTTCACTAAAACTTTATTGAAATGGTTGATATGCTATCTAAATATGATCCAGTGCTAAAAGAGCACCAAATGAGACTAAAGAGGAGTGCAGCTACATGAAAAAGCATCCGCATCTTACCTTTCACCATAAACCTAAAATGAATTTATAAATGTCCTTGAAAGCATATGCAGGAGATTCTATCATGGACATAAAGGCTGCGAGGTATTTTGGAATAATGTTCAAAAGTACACCTGATATATCACAAACTGACCAGATATCTGAAGTGACCAGATAAGTGAACATCAACAAAGGGAAATTTGAAGTGAGAGAAGTTCTTCTTGGATTTTCCCCGTTAAGAGGGACAATAGCTGATGACTTCAGGTCTGAAATTCTTGCAAATCTGAAACGTGATGGGCTAGACATAATGATGTTCATAGCTCAAGGTTACGATAATGCTGCCACAATGTCTGGAATCCATGGAGGTGTTCAGGTTATTCTGAAAATAAATAATAAGAACGCGATTTTTAATGGATGCGTGTACCACACGCTTAACTTGTGTGGTCAACACTCTTTTGCGGAAAGGTTCACGTATGACATTTTTCAGTATTCTTGAAAGAATATTTTCCTTCTTTGCTGCATCCACTCATCAATGAAATGTTCTATTTGAACACACTGGAATGTCAGTGAAAAGACTATCAACAAAGCATTGGAGTACTTATCATGCTGCTGTTAAGACAGTGAAAGTGAAAGATGAGTTTGATGAATGTGTGGCGGCTATTGAAGCTTTGTGTAAATCCTCTTGAAAATTTGGTTACAAGAGGTACAGAACAAAGTCTTTTGCATGCTGTCTTTGATTTGAAATGCAATTCTTTAATTATTGTGTTTGTGATTTTACGTTTATCTGCTACCTTTTACCTTTGGCTCATCAGCTCACGGTCCTTGATCAAACATGCTATTGAAAAGAAATATTTAATATCAGACCACTATGGAATTTCGGTAGTGAGAAGATTAAGGTTTAAGAAGAGAAATGCAGAATAAAAATTAATAGATGCTGGACTCCTTCTTCGAGACGAAAACATTAGGGATAATCTGGAGTGTATTGATCGCTTTCATTCGGAGCTACAGATCAGATCATCAGCGATCATGGAAGTAGCAGATATGTTTGGGGCTGTTCAGCACAAGAGTCTAGTATCAGCAAGTGAAGAAGAGTTATTGGTGTACGTTCCAAAAGTAACTTCTTTCTATGAGTTATCAGAAGATGAACTTTCAAAAGATATACCATGACTTAAAAGACATCTAAAGGCAGCTGATATTGAATTTTCACAAAGTCATTGGCAGGTCCGTAATTAATGTTTTGAAATTCAAAGCTGATTGGGACTTCCTAGAATCTCTTCTAACACTCTCGCTAAGTTTTAATTTTTTTTTCTTACGTTATGTCAGTCTTTGGCTTAATGTGAGCGGAGCTTTTCAAAACTAAGGCTCATCAAGAAATATTTATGATCCAAAATCGGACCGTCAAGGCTTTCTGATATGGCTCTGCTATCTATTTAAAGTGATACATTGAAGGAAATTGATTTTGATCAAATGATTGACAGGTTTGCAGCTTGGAAGACAAGGAAAGGAAAATTTTAAATACTTTAAATGTAATGTAAAAATAACTATAACTCAACGTTGTTACAGTTTTTAAATCCCTTGACCTCATGAACTTGGATTTATGTGTTTTGTTCTTGTTATTGTTATACTGTGGACTTATCTTAACAAGAAAAAATCGTTCATAGAAGTTGGGGGGGGGGGGGGGGGTGTGACACCGTGAGTTTACCGCACCGGGTGACACCAACCCTAGCTACGCCACTGCTTTAAACAACAACAAAAAAAACAAGAAGAAACAAACAACGAAAGGGCTCAAACAGGAGGTGAAGGTTATAGCGCGTCAATGTCCAGTTTATCCAATGAGAAAGCACTCACAGGCACGGGCTTAAGTGGCGCCCCCCCCCCCACTTTTGTGTGTGTGTGTTGGTATTCAACAGCATCGGTACCAGTAATTATGGTTCGCTTCTGGTTATGAGACAAGTCACATGGAAGGTATTTATAGCTATGGCCCATGTCAGGCCGATGCCAGAACCATGTCAGGCTTATGTCAGGCCATGTGAGGCCCATGTCAGGACCATGTCAGGCTTATGCCAGGTCAATGCCTGGCTAATGTCAGGCCCATGTCAGGCCTAGAACAGGTCCCTTAAACTTCATACTCTATCCCTGATCACGTTCGGTAGCCAATTGTTTTTCTTCTAAATTTAGATTTAAAGAAAGGGTTTTAAATGTTCTTTCTTCTTTGTTTTGTTTGGACCCTTTATAGATTTACACGTTCAGAAAGACTCAATATTGGCGTCACGTTAAAACAGCTAGTGGAAGTAGAATAGAACAAATGCTCAATCCACACATCTACGCGTTCCCGGGATTTATACTTAACAAAACAAAACATGGAAGACGGTATGAGAATCCAATGACAAGGTACAATATGGTAATTTTAACATGGACGAGATGCAGCAAGAAAATCCTATGACAAGGTACTATGCACTTCACAATGAACCAGAAACGGTAAGAGGAGAGATACGACTTCTTCTCTATGGGATTGTAGTTGTACAAGCAAAAATAAGGTTGACAAAAACACAGTGCATGGAACTAAAGTTATACTTTGATAAAAAAAAACGAATTATGAAGTCGGGAAAGGCTAAATTACTAGAAATTATTAAACTTACACACATATACACACGCAGCACACAAACACACACACACACTCACACACAAAGAAGAGCTTTTGGTTAAAAATACTTTTCAGGATTGCGGGATTGGAAAGTACTCGGAATGTACACTTTAGAAAGTACTCGGGATGTACGCTTTAGAAAGTACTTGGGATGTATGCTTTATAAAGTACTCGGGATATACACTCTAGAAAGTACTCGGGATATACACTCTAGAAAGTACTCGGGATGTACGCTTTAGAAAGTACTCGGGATGTACGCTTTAGAAAGTACTCGGGATATACACTTTAGAAAGTACTCTGAATGTACACTTTGGAAAGGACTCGTGATGTACACTTCGGATAACAGTAGAGAAGTTAAATTCCATTTAATTTTATTTGTATTTTTTTTTAAAAGTGAATTTAAAAAAAATCATTTCTATTTATAGATTTGCACGTCAGATTTAAAATGATAAAAAAAAAGAGTTCGCCACATTGAATGCCATTTCTCATGTCTGTATGCAGGATCAACTCCCTTGGATTTAATTGTAGAGAGCAGGACAAGCCAATCACTCAACCCAACCAGTTCAAAGAGACGCTTAAACGTTTAATGTAAAGGTAAAATTTAATGTCAACAGGACTTATATAAAATGAGAAATTTTATTCAAAACATCAACTATCAATAAATGTTGTGTTTGAGAAACAGGTCCTAAGAAAGGTTACTAAAATTCGCCGGGTGGCCAGATATACGAAAGTCGCGATTTCTATCAGAGATCAATAATCCATAGCTTGGTTCAATAAACAAGTCAATATCGCCATGTTATAAACTTTATTATAAGCCATTCAGTATATCACGACACACCGCCGTGAGGATACAAGAGGCTAGAGAGTTCAGACCCGTCAACATACAGACTTCATTGAATGACGTCATTACAAGGCCAGAATGATTTTTAAAAAAATAACTATCTATCAATGGGCTCAAAAGAATAATACAATAAGAGGGTCTCAAAGAATGATACAATAAGAGGGACTCAAAGAATGATACAATAAGTGAAAATCGAAGAGTGAAAAAATTCTTAAGTTTTACTGTATTTGACGAACGGAATTCAAACATTTTAAAGTTATGTTGCACAAGTCCATGGGACATCAGTGATACAGTGATCAAATCTAATACACAAACATTTAAATGCTTTACGTGATCACACGATGTCAAGGTAAATTGTCAACTATTTTGTCTCAGCTCTTCTCTGTTTAATTTTGGGAACTTCAAAATATGTCCAGATGGGATGTACGAAAACATCCACGGTTGGGAAGTATTAACATATGCACATTTGGGAACTACCAACACAAACTCAGTTGGAAAACTTAAACATTTTCAAAGTTCAGAAATTTCAAATCCTTGGATGTTCCAAAACTTTCATAGACATACAGCATAATTCATAGACAGCTTATTTCGTAGACAACTTATGTCATAGTTAGCTTATTTCATAGGTAGCTTATTTCATAGACAGCTTATTTCATAGTTAGATTATTTCTTAGGCAGCTATTTCAAAGACAAATTATTTCATAGACAGCTTATTTCATAGGTAGCTTATTTCATAGACAGCTTATTTCATAGTTAGATTATTTCTTAGGCAGCTATTTCATAGACAGCTTATTTGATCGACAGCCTATTTTTAGAGAAGGAAGTTTTGGGACCGTCTTTAAGAAAACTCCACGGTTAAAGGGTCGGACGTGCAACAATTTGAGTTCCCTTCATATTGACCTGTCAATACTTTCATTGTCAAAAATCCCCATAGGCACTGATAAAGTGCTAACAGCCCTAGAAGAGTCACAACGATCGATAAACCTACCTGTCTTTGAATATGTTTTATTCATTCTTATTTCTCTCCCCTCTCTAACCCCAACGCTCTCCTAACAACCACACCCCACCACAATTCCCTGTGCAACACCTCAGGACTTCTCATGGATGTATTTCATGAACTCGAATCCCCTCTCCCCCAACTCACACCTTCATCCTCACCACCTCTCTATCCCCTTCACCACCTCCCTGCCCCCACCACCTCCCTGCCCCCACCACCTCCCTGCCCCCACCACCTCCCTGCCCGGTGGTGGAGGGACGGGGGTGGACCTCCCTCCCCCCACCTCCTCCCTGCCCCCACCACCTCCCTGCCCCCACCACCTCCCTGCCCCCTCCCCACGCCCCGGCGCCACACCAAAGTACTTCTCATGTATATGATTTCCCCCTGTATGCCCATGCGCACAGTTCAAGATAATGAACTCGAGCCTCCCCTCTATGGCTATGGCACCCGTTAACACCTTTAGGAAAGTGGATTGGCGATACAACGACTGAAGGAAAAAAAAATCAATATCACTTTGTAAAGACAGGTTTATTGCCCAGGTCTATTTCCATGGGTAGAACTTATGTTCCAGATTTGAAAGACCGTGGGGGGAAAGTTTACCCTGTGTGCTGATGTGTCGTTTGGATACGACCCGTAGGTATGTACGCCACCTTTAAGGTCACTCAGTCGCTCTGATCACTTATAGGATAGTCACCGTTCCAAAAGACGTAAGTATTGGATTGAGTTGGGTGGTAAACAGCTTCTTGAGCTATACATTATTTTTCTTCCTCAATTTTCGACTCATTACTCGTGCTTTCGATGTGAAATATCTCTTCAAATAACTTAACAATAATGTCTCTCGGGTAATTACCATAATTGCTATGCAACTTAAAATCAGTGGTTCTCAACCTTCCTAATGCCGCAACCCTTTAATACAGTTCCTCGTGTCGTAATGACCCCCAAACGTAAAATTTTCGTTGCTTCTTTATAAATATGTGTATTCTGATGGTCTTAGGCGAACCCTGTGTAAGGGTCGTTCGACCCCCCAAAGGGTTTGTGATCCACAAGTTGAGAACCGCAGCTTTAAATGGTGCAGTCTGAAAAGTGTATAAATTAGCTGTTAAAGAAACGCAATAAAAAGTGATAATTTTTGGTGGGGTGACGGGTAATCATATGAAATAGAATAGAATTAGCGCAGGCAGGCATCAAATAACTTACATTTTTTAAAAATAAATCATGATCAATTTCATCGAGCTGGTTAAACATAAACACAGTTTAATTTTTAACCGTTTAAGAAACCATCTATCTTTTGACGGTGAATCGAGCAATGAACAATACGTTTTTGTCAAACATCAAGTGACATTCCTTCATCGGTTTATTTTCGCGCACATCAGACGCACCTAATTATAAGACACGGGTTTTTGCAATTTGTGTAAACAATATTTTACATAAGAAGACCTCATATATAAGACGCATCCTGGGTGCGGAGTACGTAACACTTTGTATAAGACTAAAATTAAACGACGATAAGACTGAGGCAATTATTTGTGGTTTAGACGTCAATCATCGGAAAGTTGCCATCGCATCAATAAAAATTGGTGAATCAGAGATCCCGTTGTCCTCCACTGTCAGAGACCTTGGCTTATATACTGTCAGTAAACTTAGAATGATTCCCCATAACAGCTCTATGGTCAGGACACGCTTCAATCATCTACGCGCCCTGGGTCAGCTGCGTCCTCACCTCAATAAGAGAACAGTCAATGCTGTAGCTGTAACTGTAATCCAGTCAAGATTAGGTCACTGTAACAGTTGTTTGTGGGGTTTACCTCAGAACCAAATTCAGAGACTCCAGAAGGTACAAAATACTGCAGCACGCATTGTATCGCGGATGAAAAAACCTGACCACATCAGCCCAGTTCTAGGAGATCTCCATTGGCTTCATGTGAGTGAGCGCATTGACTACACAATTCTGTCCCTGGCGTAAAGCTGCATAGAAGGCTCTGCATCGGAATATTTTAGAGAACTGATTTATGAACATGTATCCTAGATGAACCTGCGGTCTTCAACACATTCCTTACTGAAAATCTCCAGTGTGGATGAACACATAAAAAAGTCTTACGGAGTGCGCTCTTTTGAAGTGATAGCGCCGAAATTATGGAAGAACAGTTTGCCTCAATCTTTGAGGGGGAATTGAAAATGATGCAAAATCATTTAAGAAACATTTAAAGACGTTTTAGTTTAAATAGATTTAAGAAAACCAGAGCGCAGTGAGCATGCTAAAGTGGCATGGATACCAGCGCTACATAAATATCCAATCAATCAATCAATCAATATTCGCGAAAGTGCGGTACGTATCCTGAAATCAAGCAAAGGCCAAACAAGATGTCGACTTTCCTCATAAGCGTTGCTGCTATCTTCTTTATGGGCCGTGCCGTCGAATTTAATAGCGATACCATGGTCAACATTTGATAGATGATTCTTTCTTTTAAGTGTTAATGAAAACGATACATGATGGTTCCGCCGCATCCCACCGCATCTCACTCTATCCCATACACAATCAGAAGACGTAGATTCAATAAAATTTGTCGGTGGGATCCCAATTCCTGAATTACGTTTTACTTTTCCAATTGTAGTTTACTAACTGAGTGCACAACTGTGGATCGCGTCCCTTAACGAAGGAATAACCGAAAGACCAACCATGGCTTTAGACCGAAGATTGGCTTGGAGCTTGGTCATTCTTTTGGCAATGTTCATAAATTTGTCAGGTAAGGTTTGCCATGTGATACATATTGTCCGAAAAAATCCTTTAAAATCTATTTTTAGCAAAAGGTTTCCGGCATGCGTAATTATTTTCAATATTAAAGATTAAACAACAACAACAAAACAACAACAACAACAAAATAACAACAAAATAACGACAACAAAATAACAACAACAAAATAACAACAACAAAATAACAACAACAGACGATTAGACTTATCTTTATGGATGTATTGCCCACTTAAGCATACTACAGCAGTGTACAGCAGAGTGCAGCAGAGTACAGCAGTGTACAGCAGAGTACAGCAGAGTACAGCAGAGTACAGCAGAGTACAGCAGAGTACAGCAGAGTACAGCAGAGTACAGCAGAGTACAGCAGAGTACAAAAGAGTACAGACGAGTAGAAGAGAGTACAACAAAGTACAGACGAGTACAACAGAGTACAAGGGAGTACAACAGAGTACAGCAGAGTAGAAGAGAGAACAGTAGATTACAGCAGAGGAGAAGAGAGTACAGCAGACTAAAGCATAGTACAAAGGAGTGCAACAGGGTACAACAGAGTAGAAAAGAGAACAGCAGATTACAGCAGATTACAAGAGAGTACAGCAGAGTAGAGCAGAGTATCTCAGAGTAGAGCAGTGTACATCAGAGTACAGCAGAGTAGAGCAGACTACAACAGAGTAGAGCAGAGTACAACAGAGTAGAGCAGAGTACAACAGAGTAGAGCAGAGTACAGCAGAGTAGAGCAAAGTGCAGCAGAGTAGAGCAGAGTGCAGCAGAGTAGAACAGAGTAGAGCAGACTACAACAGAGTAGAGCAGAGTACAATAAAACAAACACACACGGACGTACGTACAAACACGCACACGCACAAACACATACACTTACACGCAAATATTAAAAAAGGAAAAACTCACACATACGCACGCACGCAATCACTCTTACACACACACATACTCACACGTAAAAACGCACACGCCCCACACAAATTTGATGGCGCCCACACACACAGTACATACGTATTTATAACTCAAATTGTATGTCAATCATAAACAAAAGAAATATTTTGATTGTTGCTATAAAGTTGACTTGCTATCAACGTTGACGGGTCTTTCATTCATTTAAACTATTTTTTGCAGATGGTGCAAATTTGGCGCCAACATGCGAGAAGAGCTACTACAACGTCTCGGTAACAGAGGGCAATGATGTTGGTTACAGCGTCCTCAAGGTCAGCTGTTCAGATCCCGAGAGCGACACACTGGCCTTCGAGTTTGATGGCACGGGAGGTAACACCAACACCGTGTTCCAGATCAATGGCGCAACAGGGGAACTTACCCTTGCCAAGAAGGCTGACGCAGAGGAGAAGACAAGCAGCATTTTTGCCAATCCCTTCACGGTAGGTTGAAAAAACTTTTCTAAGACAAAATTGAGCAAGGACAAATAATCATTTTCAATTGAAAAAAAATATTATAATAATAAATGTAAACAAAATAATAATAATAAATAAAACAGGAAAACTTTATACTGTACAGATGAGTTAGCCAATCAGCAGAGTTGGCTCATTAGGATATTTACAAAAAGTAAATTCCAGATATCTCAAACTTTGGAGAGTGTTCCTTTTAAAATGTTAGTTTTCAATCTATTATAGTACATGCCCTCGTTCGTCATTCCTTGATCTCAGTGCGGCCTTTGATACCGTTGACCATCAAACCCTTTTCAAAACACCTAAAAATGACTTATTCCTCGCTCAGTTTCGACTTGATTTCGGTCCTACCTCTCCGATAGAACGTAGGCGGTCGCTGTCGATGGCTGTATCTCCGGCAGTGATGGCTTGTTTTGCGGAGTGCCACCCTTTTCCTTTTTGGGCCCGGTTCTTTTTACATTGTGTACCAGGCCACTGCTCCTCCTGCTCGTGAGGCGGGCTGTTGAGAGCCAGTCATTCGCAGGTCACACGCAGCTATACAAGCATAGCCATCGCTCTCTTGTCGACTCCGCTATCCACACCTTACGGAAGTGCATTGGTGGTGTCAAGTCCTAAGTGACTCTCAGCAAGTTGATGCTGAATGATGACAAAAACAGAAGCACTCCTCATTCACAATCACAAATCATCCTCTAAATCAACTCTCCCCATCTCGTTTCACGTAGGTACATCCGACATACAGTTTACATTCTCTGCTAGAAATCTTGATTACATCCTTTCTCACCCCCCCCCCTTTTTACCGATTAAACAATGCTCGATGCTGCTGGATACCGTCCATGACTAGACAGGGGTCATTCTTGGGTGGGTGAGGTCAATATTTTTACACAGCTAAAATTTGGCTAAATTTTATGTGAAGCTGTGAGCCTAAGCTCTGGTAACGCGCTATATAAGACCACTTTAATAATAAGGATAATAATGTTTGTTATTTTTATTCAAGATATATGAAATGCAGAATTATTTTAAGAAGACATGAGTTGTTTACAAAAAGCATCATATATTTTTAATCTGTGAATTTATCCGTGGGATATCGTACAAAAATAAAGTATACATTTCCCAATATTCAGTTGATTAAAATCATTATTTGGAATTTCAAATTACTATAACTTCCTTCAGATCAATTTTAAATTGCCACTTCTATATACTTTAAATTATTAAAAAAAAACAAAACAACTAATCCACAGAACTTAATTTTAAATTGACGATTTAGAAAAAAATATTTATTTTTCTAAAAAGCTAGTACATCAACTGGAATCGGCAAGATAATCGAAATGCTATCCTACAAAATGTGTGTCATTTGTTGTCTTTTTATTGTTTTAATAGCCTACTGCTATAGTTTCATCTTAAAAAGTAAATGTACAAATATTTGTGAAGATAGATGAGGAGATTGCTTTTTATTCTATTAAAAAGAGAAAAGCAGTCGAAAATTTGATAAACTTAAGCTAACTTTCTTTGTTAAACTAAAGAAAACTAAAAAGCCTTGGTTTTATTCTACCTAGTTCAACATACATGGAATCCAGTACATTACAAATTATGATAATAACTATATATTTTTTAAAAGCGTGACGCCATCATACACTTTATAAGTAACTTTAAATCCATAGTTTAAAAGTTATGATGAAATTTACTTGTAAAACAGATTGCATATGTTTGATACTTAGCACGAACTATATTAAAATAATAGATTTTTATATTGAGGAGAACGTAGTCTAATACAATGTTATTACAGGCTTTAAGCTTGTGAAGTTGCCATCTCATCCCCGGAGAGATGCCTGAAAGTAACACTACGCCAGTGTGGGTCAGCGGGCCACAATCTGGGGAACGCTCATTTAGACTTTATTTTTAAATTTCAAAATAACTGTTTGTTTCGACTTATCTCGGCCACAAACTGTTCCAGGGCCTGGGGAAACAGTACGTATATTAACATAAAAAAATACATATCAAAATACCCAAGTGTATCCTAAAAGGGAGACCAGGGATTAATCCTTTCGTTATAACTTCGGTGAAACTGTAGATGTTTTTATTTTATTAAGAAAATACACTTCAGGGGATTGGCGGGGGGGGGGCTATGGGAGGGACAAGACAGAAGGAAAGGGGGCGATGGGAGAGACAAGGGGGGGGGGGGGGGGAGAGAGAAACAAAGTGTGGGGGAGGAATTTTTATGATTCAACACTACGTCAAAAGCCAATAATGTTACAACGTAAAATTTATTATAATGCTACTTTTAACAATATGTACGTCGGCATTTAGCCAAATAATACATTTCACGAACCGTCACATTAGGGTACATTTATTATGTATACGACCGTCACATTAGGGTACATTTATTATGTATACGACCGTCACATTAGGGTAAATTTATTATGTATACGACCGTCACATTAGGGTACATTTATTATGTATAAGACCGTCACATTAGGGTACATTTATTATGTATACGACTGTCACATTAGGGTACATTTATTATGTATACGACCGTCACATTAGGGTACATTTATTATGTATAAGACCGTCACATTAGGGTACAATGATTATGTATAAGTAAATACATAGATCTAATAAAATAGAAACAAAACGCTCGACAATAACAATGGCTATCACTTAAGTTTGTAACTAGTTTTGATTACTTGTCCTCTGCTGGGGAAAGCTCTTAGTCGAAACTTTCTTTCCTTATCGTCCTGTCTGTCGATTCAAGGGTAACCAAATGTCCCGTAAAATTGGGATTGTTCCGTTTTTTCACGATCGCGCTCGGTGTCCCGAAAAAGTCTCCCGGGGCGCCTAAATGTCCCGCTTCTAAAACAAAACACATTTTCAAATCACTAAAAACTTCCTAATTTGTAATATAACTTCAAGTAATATTTTGGCTAGCTGTGCAGCCAGTGGCAGTAGGGATGTAGGCTCGCGTGGTGGCTGCACTGTTCCACCTCCACCACTCCGACAACTCCGCCAACGCTGCAAAATTACTTTTTTCGTTTATGCTAGCCTCAGAAGAAAAGTTAAAATTTAATTTAAAAAGTGAAGGTAAATTTAAAAAGATATTCAAATTCTCAAAATAGTTAAAATGAGCATATTTTTTTTTTTTTAATTCTCTGGCGGAGGCCCCCGGACCCCTCTTTAGCTCGAGGAAGAAACGTAGCTAGAGTGTTTGACGCCCGGGGACAAGATTCTCGCCCAGGGACATGATTCATTTTAAAGCGCCCCCTTCTCTTTTTTCAACTTTCAAACCAATTCTTTTCATCAATAAAATAATATCAAAGCACAGTTTGGCGCCACTAACTAGCTGGCCCCCTGTGTACATCTGTCCCCCTTGCAGCCCCTTCACTACGCCTCTGTTTGGAGGGTATCCCTCCTGTTAAATTTGTGTTATCCGCAATCTCTGCCAGAGCCTCGTAGACATCCCTAAGCTGATAACGAAGGAGTTTCAAAGCATAAATTAATTCGACTTTCCCATCGTGTCTCACCCAGTGGTTTAACAGCGATATTAGAAACATGTCGATTTAAAATTTCCCAACGACGAGTTGATGCAGAAAAGAATACATGAACACGTTGCACTAGATCAAAGAAGGTTGTTGCCTCAAAGCAACATTTTGCAGCATCATCAACAACAAAATTCAAGGTATGTGCACAGCAAGGAACAAACAATGCTCGGGGATTGTAACAGACCAAGTTGGCTGTGATTTTACAACACGACACTAATATGCATCCCTATGACAGGATGGCGGAGTAATTGTATGATAACTTAGTAAGTCACGAGAAAAAGAGGGAACTAGTTTCTAGAGCTGAAGTAGACTGGACGCTCAAGTAATGAGAGTGTGTGCTCGATTTTTATTTGAATGGGAGCAGACATATTGTATTTCTCTCGAATGGAAAATTGAGTTATTGTGATTTTAATTGTGATATGATACATTGAATAAGTGGGTGAGTATTGCATGATAGAATTACTGCAGGACATCCTAATAGCAAGTTTTATTATTAATGTGGTTATTTCATATATTAAAGTACTGTATACTTCATTGGATGTTAACCATGTTATATTGGCAATAGAATAACATGTGTTACAGGGATTGATATCTAAAATTTTTCGTTGGACACCATTGTCTTTTCGCTTCATATTGCTTCCATTGTCATATCTTTGACCACGTAAATTTTCGATAGACAAAGATATCTTTTTTAACTGCCGAAGAATAGTTTCAGTCATACCAATACCAATTGTCTCCTTTAGAGGCACACAACCCAAGAAATGTTCCTTTATAGATGCTGCTTCTGCTGCAATCTCATTTTCTGGATTTGAAATCATATCCACAAAGCGAATGATCATGGTCATCTGTTCAACATGACCAGCATCTCGTGTGCAATCTAAAATTTTTAAAAAGTACTTAGCATCACGAGCAGATGCTAGAATTTTTTTTAAAAATTGCATTGGATAAAAGCTGAATAAGTTCATTCTGTATGTCTTTGCCTAGATAATGTACATGTGTCTCATTGTCTGTAATCTTTCGAAGATGCTTATCCATAAGTAGGTCAAACAAAGCTAGAAATTCCACAAATTTCAGGAAGTTCCCTTATCAGATGTGTTCAGTTTCTCATGTTCCATGAAAAGCAAGATGTTGCATACCAAGAACTCTAACTAAAGCAATCAGACGTTTCAAGATTTGCTGCCAATAATGTTCTTCTTTTTTTTTTTATGAGACGCAAATGTTCGGCATCACTTGTTTTCACGGGTCGAAGTCGCAGCTCAAGTTCCTTCCATGACTGAACATTCGCTAGATGTTCACTGCTTTTCTCATGTCCCTATTGCGGACATGTTTTTCCAATCCTTTGAACCTTTATCAGAAAGAGATGACGCACATGTTGTGCTGGAAAACAGCTTGCAGCAGAAACAATAAACAGAGTCATTACTTACAGAATATTGCAGCCAATGTCTGCAAATTTCATCTCCATTGACAAGCCTGCGGTTGTAATGAATTTTTGAGAATTTACTTTGATTACTGGCTTTAGGAAAATCAAACTGCTCAACTTGTTCTGGTCCATGTTCTATCAAAATGTGTCACATATGATCATCAAAGTCGGTCCAAGTAGCAGGATCGCCATACTTAACATATAACCAGTTAAATTATCGACTTTATTCACTTCAGATTTTGTTTCTTGGTGCGTACCATGCATTTCATTTTGTGCTTCAAACTCTTCTGATACTGTCATCTCCTCGGATTCCACCGCTTCCTTGTGTGTTCGGCTTGATTGCTTAACTCCCCTGGACCATCGTCGTCTCTGTGCGGTGTACATAGATACTTTAACAACGAGTCTCCTTGTTTTTTTGTTTTTTTAACGTATTTTTCATTTTCAGCCCGACGTGTACGATACTGTGAGCCAGACAATCGTTTTCTCTCTGCCATGGGGATTCAAATAACGACGGAAACGGCAAAATACAATTTTATTATGGTTTACTTTTTTTGCTATATTTTTAATTCATTTTTTAAAATAAAATAATTGCAATTTACACATACAAGTTTAAATATCTAAAGCAAAGGATTTTAAATATTCCGTTGTACACAAGTCAAACTAAATATCTTACACTCCTGCTTACACAGAGCTCAGCCCATGTGCCCGGTTTAAATAGGGTAACCAGGAACCACTAAGTGAGGCTGGTGTCGGGGAAGGGCATCCGGTCGTAAAAACAAATTGCTCCACATCTCCATTGAGTTGTACACTTGTCAGAGTTAATGGACTCATTTGTCCAAGTATGTCCTACCCATGCCAAGCATGGAAAAAGGGCTTTAAATGGTAACAAAAGAAGAAGAAGAATCTTACCTAATGTATTCAAGTAGCCTGTCGACGATAATCAAATTTAAATTATTTATTTTATTTTCAATGTTGACGTCATTTCATTTTGAAATGACGTCACCGGATGTGGCTGTAATTGCCCGTAATCTAAGTAAGGAAATTATTGATCAAATTTATACTAAGCAATTCGTTTCATTTGTTTTAATAAAACAGCAAATATTAGTGTAAAAAACTATGCAATTTAATTCAATGTTTAAATGACGGCGTCACGCCACTAAAAAAAAATTTATTCAATCCATTCATTATTAAAGGGCTTCAATTTATTTATATTTTTTTTTTACGTAGCTCATAGTGCCGCACTGCCGCCCCATAAATTTGCCGCCCTAGGTGGCAGCCTAGTTCGCCTAGTGGTTAAACCGGGCCTGGGATTACCCCCTTACCCCTCAAACCCCTGGAAATAGTCTGGGGGCCCATGGGTTGACAAAAGACGAAATGTACTCTTTTTTTTTTCTTTTTAGATTCGTGTCAAGGTCAAAGATGGTACAAACACGCTGCTCATAACCTACTTTGTTTACATCGAGTCCATCAATGACAACGCGGCCAAGATATCTAGCTTGACACCAAGCCCTGTTAGTGTTAGAGAAGACACTAAAGTCGGGGCGAAGCTGGCCAACTGCACACTAAAAGATGATGATTTTCCTGGTTCCGGTCATGATGTACCTTATGTCAAAATCACAGGTAAATAAGGCACCAATAAGGAAACATGGTTTAAAATAAGAAGGTACCTAAAATAGCTGACTTGAGAATTTTTTTAGTCACATTACTTAAAGGTCACAATTCTTAAAAGTCACAATGCTTGAAGTCACAAAACTTAAAGGTCACAATTTTTAAAGTCACACTACTTAAAGTCACAATACTTAACGTCACAATACATAAAGGCCACAAAACATAAAGGCCGCAATTCTTAAAGTTCACAATACTTACAGTCTCATACTTAAAGTTCACAATACTTAAAGTCACAATACTTAAAGTCACACTACTTAAAGTCATAATATATACAATCACACCAAGACACCAAAATACGATTTTACTTCATTAAAATTTAAATTAAATAATTGGACAATACGTGTAGCCTCAATGATGTTTTTTGTATCATTGTTGAAGTTTTTTTCCTCCCATGCTTCACTTTAAAATACAAACACACACCACACAGAACTCTTGTCACATAACCACACACATCTGTTGTCACATCAGCACACGCAAAAGTTGTCAGAGCACCACACACAACTGTTGTCAAAAAACCTCGCATAACAGTTGCCACATCACCACACAGCTGTTGTCACAGCACCACACACAACTATTGTCACATCACCACACATAACGGTTGTCACATCACCACACACACCTGTTGTCACAGCACCACACATAACTGTTGTCACATCACAACACACAACTATTTCGCAGCACCACACACAACTGTTGTCACAGCACCACACACAAATATTGTCACATCACCACACATAACAGTTGTCACATTACCACACACAACTATTTTCACAGCACCACACACAACTATAGTCACTGCACCACACACACCTGTTGTCACAGCACCACATTTAACTGTTGTCACAGCACCAAACACAACTATTGTCAGAGCAAAACACAACTGTCGTCACAGTACCACACACACTACTGTTATCACAGCACCACACACGACTGTTGTCACACCAGACACACACAACTGTTGTCACATCATTACACACTACTGTTGTCACATCATTACACACAACTGTTGTCACAGCACCACACACAATGTTGTCACAGCACTAAACACAACCGTTGTCACAGTACCACACACAACTGTTGTCACATCACCACACACAACTGTTGTCACAGCACCATACACATCTGTTGTCAGAGCACCACACAACTGTTGTCAAAGCACCCCACACAACTGTTGTCACAACACCACACACAACTGTTGTCACAGCACCATACACATCTGTTGTCAGAGCACCATACACCTGTTGTCGCATCACAACACATAACTGTTATTTGCACCACCTGATACCGCTACCGTAACAACCTTTGCCCTTTTCAACAGCTGGAAACGATGACGGCATGTTCGCTCTGGACTACATCACGTGTGACCTGATGCTGGTCAAGTCGTTGGACTACGAGAAGGTTAAGACCTACACTCTGACGTACCAGGCCTACAACACCGAACCGCTGGTGTCACCTGACACCACCTCCACGGCTTCCATTGTTGTTAATGTGCTGAATGTCAATGACAATGCTCCGGTGAGTGTAACTCGCCTCCAAATGACGTCATCAAGATGTGTGTATTGTGCGCGGAAGTTTTCCGATGTGGTACACAGTTCTTTATCAATATTTTATTTGAGCGGATTAAGACGAACGTTATGAAGGGATTTGAGATTAAGTTTTAAAATAAATGACTATGTGTTCACCCAGTGTCGGACAACACTGTTCAGTGGAGGTGAAACATGGTGGGCACATAGACAGTACAATATCTCAAAACTTATTTCACTTGGAAAAGGGAAAATAGCGGATAAGATTTCCTTTCAAACCAACACCACCGAGATATTTCACTTTTCCCAAAGATACAGTGAAGGGGGGAAGATAAGCGGTGGGCACATATGAGGATAACTATATGTTGATGTTACACATTGTAATGTAAACATTTCGTAAAAATATTTTTCAATGGTCAAAGAAACAAATTGGGAGCATTTTTTATGGGGATGACAATATCTCACACCCAAGCATCTTACAGACGTGAAAATTTAATCTTTAAAAATTGATGAATAATTTTTTTATTTCCCGAAAACACATTTGAGGGACGTGAACAAACAGGGATTAAATACACTTGGAAAGTAAGGGGTATATTTGTAAGGGAATTAAGAATATATTTAAAATACAAAGACGTGGCAATCGTTAAAACGTTTCCGATTTACACATAAAAATTTGCATGTTTTACCATTTTCAATTAATATAGTTCAGGAGCGAGGCAAAAGTTAGGGTAAAGTGTTGTGAAGACACCAGTAAATAAAAATACGTTAGTGTTACATATATGTAAAATGGTAAATTGTTTAAATATAAGGACACGTTACTACTTCTGAACAAGAAATTATGCTTTCTTTGTAGTTGAGTTGCGTGAAAGGGTCAAGCATGTCTACATTGTATGGAAGAAAACATTTATCAAAACACAATGGTGTCAGAAACGCAAACATCTTAAAGCATAGATACATCTTTCAAAATAATGAATGTTTGATATACTCTTTCTTAAATATACATTTCAAGGGCGTGGCATATAGTTTTTTGATGAATCAATTCATAAAAACAAATTTCAGTTACATACGTAAAAATGGGCTTTTCAGATGTTGAGATGTCGCAATAGCAGACAGAAGGGAGTGCAATACGCTTCCATTATTACCGCGGTGTGACACCGGGTCATAACTTCTACTGTAAAAAAATAATACAACTAAATTTATGAAAAACACAATTTTCCTCACAAAAATAATCATCAAAAGCCCAATAAAGATGAGTCCCAGCGCCCACTTTCCACCTTCCACCTTCCACCCTAAGCCTCCACCCACCTCCTACATTACACCACCCACTTCCACCTGCGACCTTCACCACCCGCCGCCCACCACCATCCCCTGACCCACCAGCCTCCTCAGTTATTCAATGTCCAGCAAAGACCCTTAACGTTATGGATGCTCATCACGCTCATCATATGTCATCTCCACTGTTTTCATATGTTTGCTTCTCACTATGGCATATATCATGTACTATATTAGCTGCTCATACGGACTTTTCTTTGTGTGACCAGAACTGCTCAGCCTACAACATAATAGCAGATGTCCTGGAGTCTGCTGGTGTCATTGATGTACTGAAAAAATTGAGCTGTTCTGATGCAGAGACCGCAGGAGCTATAACTTACACTATTGTTAAGGGTAGGTTCAAAGCTATTGTTGTCATCATTGTTTTAGACCTAATGGTGACTACATAGACTAAAGAGACTATAGCGCATATAGAGACAATAGAGACAATAGAGACAATAGAGACTATAGAGACTATAGCGCACATACAGACTATAGAGTTAATAGAGACTATAGCGCATATACAGACTATAGAGACAATAGAGACTAGAGAGACTATAGCGCATCTAGAGACTATAGAGACAATAGAGACTATAGAGACTATAGCGCACATAGAGACTATAGAGACTATAGCGCACATAGAGACTATAGAGACAATAGAGACTAGAGAGACTATAGCGTCTATAGCGACTATAGAGACAATAGAGAATAAAGTGACAATACGGACTACGGAGACAATAAAAACTTTTAGTTTTAATTTGCGGTATGCCATAAATATTTATTGTAATAAAAATTAGCCGTCATGACAAACAACAACAGTGACAACAGTGACAACAGTGACAACAGTGACAACAGTGACAACAGTGACAACAGTGACAACAGTGACAACAGTGACACCAGTGACACCAGTGACAACAGTGACAACAGTGACAACAGTGACAACAGTGACAACAGTGACAACAGTGACAACAGTGACAACAGTGACACCAGTGACACCAGTGACAACAGTGACAAAAGTGACAAAAGTGACAACAGTGACAACAGTGACAACAGTGACAACAGTGACAACAGTGACAACAGTGACAACAGTGACAACAGTGACAACAGTAACAACAGTGACACCAGTGACACCAGTGACACCAGTGACAACAGCAATAGACAACAGCGACAACAGTGACAACAGTGACAAGAGTATGACATTTCACGGAATCCATTAAGTATTACACTTTTTTTTAAAGAGTATAATACCAAATGTTAAACCAAAAAGTATCTTAGTTTACTAGAAATGCTTTTATTATTTCGAGAATCGAATACTGGCTATTACGTGGGGGTGAAATAATACTGGTAGAATTTGCCCCCCCCCCCCTTTTTTTTAGACGTAATAGTCAGTAATCGATTCTCTTTTGATAACCTAATACTGACAACGATAAAACTCTTTCCAATGTTTTCATCAATTAACATTGGTCAGACAGTGACACTTACTTCAAAAAACAATTGTGATCATCATGATATTTTATAGAAGTACTCATGTTTGATTCGATGGCCGATAATGATGTTAGCTGTGACTTCTTTGGGGATGCTAATGGCAATTTTTTATATTAGCTTTGCTACAAATTTAGATGACACTTTTAATATTATACGGATGTTACAATTTTATCACACCTTTTCTTTTCGCTCCAGGGAATTCCACCAGCCTTAAAATTAACCCCGGTACAGGTGACATTACCTTACAGGCACCGGTAGACTATGACGCTGGGATGCGATACCTGGAGATCACCGTGTCAGTCAGTGACGGCGATCCCTCTGGCCCCAAGACCACGGAAGTCATTGTCGGCTTTAGAATAGCAGACGTGGACGACAATCCTCCCGAGTGGTCGGGAAATAATTCAGCATGTACAGTAAAATTTTTTATGCAATATAACAGCAGATAGTATTGACCTTGTTTTACAACAGGTATTGTGACACATAATCGAGCTATATCACAGGTATTATGATATTTAATGAGTTATTTCACAGGTATTGCGATATTTAATGCGTTATTTCACAGGTATTGTGATATTATTTACTGATACCAGTGTGATGTTGTATCAAATTGGAGTATTATGTTCAATGAAACACTGTTAGGTCATTAAGGTGCACACTGCCACTTTTCTATGATAAGGATTAAAATTAACGTGGGTCAGGGCAGTAGTGACATACATAGTAAAAATGTATGGTGGCGACAATATATGGTGCAGGTGGATAACTCTTGTATGTGTTATCACCTGCTCGATTCTAGGGTTTTAGTTTTGATTCCATTCACAGACCAATGGACATGTGGGATCCTTCCGTTTTCGCGAGACAATGGAGTAGCTTAGTACAGTTCAAAAACTGGCTCGCTAGGCCGATCCTTTAATGGCAGTCTCGGCTGTATTTCTTGCAGGTGATTTGGTCTTCCGCATTGTTCTTGTTATTGTAAGAGCATCGTTTCGCGCATCGTCTGCCCTTTTACTCCTCCATACACCGCTGTTCGCAAGCTGGAACATAGCATAACAGTGATCGCCCAACCGTTGATTTAGTCTTCCTCGTGTCGTCAACCTGTTGTAGGTCGGCGCCAAATCCAGGGCACATCGTTCTTACATTCCATGTCGCGAAGCGAAGTGGTGGAGACTTCCTTCTATTATCTTTCCTTGATTTACAAAAAAAGCTCTGCTCCTCGTGGCGTAACGTCACCAGTACAGCTACTTAGTCTGGGCGGTGATTTATGGAGGCCAGCTGTTGCCCAATGCAGCAGATCCCCACTCTCCACACAGCCAGAACCAGCTGTTGCCCAATGCAGCAGATCCCCACTCTCCACACGGCCAGCACCAGCTATTGCCCAATGCATCAGATCCCCACTCTCCACACGGCCAGCACCAGCTGTTGCCCAATGCAGCAGATCCCCACTCTCCACACGACCAGCACCAGCTGTTGCCCAATGCAGCAGATCCCCACTCTCCACACAGCCAGCACCAGCTGTTGCCCAATGCAGCAGATCCCCACTCTCCACACAGCCAGCACCAGCTGTTGCCCAATGCAGCAGATCCACACTCTCCACACAGCCAGCACCAGCTGTTGCCCAATGCAGCAGATCCACACTCTCCACACAGCCAGCACCAGCTGTTGCCCAATGCAGCAGATCCACACTCTCCACACAGCCAGCACCAGCTGTTGCCCAATGCAGCAGATCCACACTCTCCACACAGCCAGCACCAGCTGTTGCCCAATGCAGCAGATCCACACTCTCCACACAGCCAGCACCAGCTGTTGCCCAATGCAGCAGATCCACACTCTCCACACAGCCAGCACCAGCTGTTGCCCAATGCAGCAGATCCACACTCTCCACACAGCCAGCACCAGCTGTTGCCCAATGCAGCAGATCCACACTCTCCACACAGCCAGCACCAGCTGTTGCCCAATGCAGCAGATCCACACTCTCCACACAGCCAGCACCAGCTGTTGCCCAATGCAGCAGATCCACACTCTCCACACAGCCAGCACCAGCTGTTGCCCAATGCAGCAGATCCACACTCTCCACACAGCCAGCACCAGCTGTTGCCCAATGCAGCAGATCCACACTCTCCACACAGCCAGCACCAGCTGTTGCCCAATGCAGCAGATCCACACTCTCCACACAGCCAGCACCAGCTGTTGCCCAATGCAGCAGATCCACACTCTCCACACAGCCAGCACCAGCTGTTGCCCAATGCAGCAGATCCACACTCTCCACACAGCCAGCACCAGCTGTTGCCCAATGCAGCAGATCCACACTCTCCACACAGCCAGCACCAGCTGTTGCCCAATGCAGCAGATCCACACTCTCCACACAGCCAGCACCAGCTGTTGCCCAATGCAGCAGATCCCCACTCTCCACACAGCCAGCACCAGCTGTTGCCCAATGCAGCAGATCCACACTCTCCACACAGCCAGCACCAGCTGTTCCCCAATGCAGCAGATCCACACTCTCCACACTGCGAGCACCAGCTGTTATCCAATACGTAAGATCCACACTCTCCACACAGCCAGCACCAGCAGTTGTCCAATACGGCAGATCCCCACTCTCCACACAGCCAGCACCAGCAGTTGTCCAATACGGCAGATCCACACTCTCCACACAGCCAGCACCAGCTGTTGCCCAATGCAGCAGATCCACACTCTCCACACAGCCAGCACCAGCAGTTATCCAATGCAGCAGATCCACACTCTCCACACGGCCATTACCAGCAGTTGCCCAATGCAGCAGATCCACACTCTCCACACAGCCATTACCAACAGTTGCCCAATGCAGCAGATCTCCACTCTCCACACAGCCAGCACCAGCTGTTGCCCAATGCAGCAGATCCCCACTCTCCATGCTGCCAGTGGTTAAGAGAATGACAACTGTTACTACAACTTGGCACTAACTGCATCGCAGGGGTTCCGAAATGTCATTGGTATCAGCGTCAGATCGAGCCCGGGACTGCTCCGAATTTTACAGTTTGGGTTTACTCACAAAGTCTTACTCTAGTTTCCGGGATTGATTTTATAAATGTATATCATTATATACACAACACTTTCTCGTTTTGTGGGTGCTAGTTCCGTATTCATATATTTGCGAGTCAGCCATCTTGTTGCTAACCGGATGTCTATATGGACATAATTATGATTATATTCAAATATATTCAATGAAAGAAGTCTAATACATAATTTCATGCAATTTTATGAACGTATTTATTTACTCAAGCTTCATAGAAGTTATAAAAGTTAAGGATATGAAAATTCATACATATAAGATCAGCTTAGATCTTCCTTTGCATTTGATTGATATCTAGGTTCTTTCGACTATGCATATTGACCTTTGACCTACCTTGTTGCCTAACTTCATTATAAAATTCGTTGCTTTTTAATAAAATGTAATACGACTAGACCATTAGAACTTCACTAATCAATATAAAACGATCGATGTTCTGGCTTGATCGACCAATCTATGAGGTCACGTGTTTGTTGGAAGTGGTTCCCCCAGTCCTCTCCTTCGAGGCAAATCAGGCAATACGGCAAACGACAAACAGGCAACACGGCTAACAGGCAATATGTGAAATGATATCAGAAAAAGGAAGGGTGGAACTCTTCGAATTGACACAAGCTGACAGGTCCGTCTGCTAGAACAACGAATTCAGGTCGGGGCATTGGAGAGGCATCAGCTTAAACACACACATCCAATATATGGATAACCTTATTAGCCAAACCGTAGTCGGTGCAAGCATGTATGGCCAGCGCCGACGCTGGGGGTAAAAGGATTTTACAGAATGAATTATAAAATTAATCATTCCTAAGAGTATGATCAAAATGGACATCATTAAACAATATATTAGAAAGACATGGTGATAAAAATGTATCATACTAAAAGGATGGAACTCGAATACTTAAACCACTCACTGCATTTCAATTGGCCGGCTTCAGTTACACAAAGTCTGAAATAGCGTGAGTACCTAGAGTGTCCGCTTCTTAATTCTACAATGTTTAAAGTTATATAATTGATCAGTCGCCGAGTTCAATGGTGTGTCGATCGATACCATTGAAGTCAATCTTTAAAGGCGTGATCAAAATTTTCCATGAGTTAACTCACACGTGGCATAGAGGTGGAAAAAAAAAAAGGGGGGGGGGTGGGGGTTGGTGGGTGTTCACTGCGCATTTCATGTCACGCTTCAACGCTCTCAGTGAGTTGATGAACAACTTAATACACTAATACGATGTGTGATCAAAATTTTCCATGAGTTAACTCACACGTGGCATAGAGGTGGAAAAAAAAAAAGGGGGGGGGGGGGGGGTTGGTGGGTGTTCACTGCGCATTTCATGTCACGCTTCAACGCTCTCAGTGAGTTGTTGAACAACTTAAGACACTAATACGATGGCTTAAATAGTATTTAATACACCTGGTCAACCTAATTATGTCAAACACCCTTTTAACTAAATTATGTTTAAAACGCTGTATACTAAATTATACTTTCCCAAAGTACGTACATTCTCTGTACAACGACCGCATATCATTCACTAAAAGAATAGTAGGCCTAATGTGAAAGTCCAACGATGCCATTAAATGTTTCTATTTCCAGCCGTCCTGGAGAATGCGGACCTCGGCACGGTCGTCATTGACTTGAACGCCACGGACAAGGACTCTCCCAACACGGCATTTTCTAAGATCACCTATGGTTTTGAAGTACCTTGCACCAGTGACTGGTTCAAGATTGACCAGTACACAGGTAAGGGACCAGTACTCCGTTTAGGGACTAGTACACGGATAAGTGACCAGTACACAGGTAAGGGACCAGTAGCAGGTAAGGGACCAGTAGGCAGGTAAGGGACCACTAGATGGGTAAGAGACAAGTACACAGGTAAGGGACCAGTACACGGGTAAAGGACCAGTAGGCAGGTAAGGGACCAGTATACAGGTAAGGGACCAGCAAGCAGGTAAGGGATCAGTACACAGGTAAGGGAACAGTAGACGGGTAAGGGACCAGTAGGCAGGTAAGGGACCAGTAGATGGGTAAGGGATCTGTACACAGGTAAGGTACCAGTAGATGGGTAAGGCCCAGTACACGGGTAAGGGCCCAGTGCATTATGAACTTGTCTCAATATCGTATTCGATTATCTTTGTTTTTACTAGGATCGATTATTGTCAAGGAATTAATGGACTACGAGATCAACGCTACCGTGACATGTACAGTCTTCGCTTACTCGTCGGACAAGAGTTCCAACAAGAAATTGACATTTGTCACAATCAATCTCATTGATGTCAATGACAGGCCACCGGAATTCGAACAGGTCAGATAGCACACAATCAACTCAGGGCGGTTATGAGTTGGTTGTGTGAAGGATTGTTGTTAGGCATCCCCAGGACACGATTACAAAGAGATAGGACCCCCGGCCAGTGCTGAATCGTCTCGTTACGGCGATGTCCATTAGATGAGACACGCCGCCGGGAAATCCGCCAGGGCATTAAGAGGGGGATCTCAGCCCGCCACAGAGGATGTTACACCATTTGTACATAACCCATACAATTCTAAGCAAACATACTCTCTGCCGTCTACCATAAAAACCAAAAAAAACAACAGACTGGTGGCATGTTTCACTGTTTAAACGTTTCAATGTTTTAATGTGCTTTCGCTGAGACACATGGGTTAAAAATAGAAATTCTGTCACCCTTCCTTCGTAATAGACCAAACCCCTGAGATTCCATTTAAGTACAAAGATAGCAAGAGTACCTGATGTAATTAATGAGTAATTATAATTCTTTATTTTTGTAAATATTTATCCCTTAAGTTTTTCAGTAATGACTTGAAATGATTCAATGTAGTGGTTAACTCCTTTTTAAAAAGTTGAAGGCATTGTGGAAAGCTGATCGGTAGCATAGTTGGAGGATAGTGTATTGACTCTGCAAACTGTTTTTATAATAGTACAATCATTAAGGGCAGGTTCATGATTCATAATCATACAGTGTCAAGACTCACAATCATATTATGTCACGACTCACAATCCTATAGTGTCATCATTCACAATCCTATAGTTTTATGACTCACAACCAAAAAGTTTCATGACTCACAACCATATAGTGTCATGACTCACAACCATATAGTGTCATGATTCACAATCTTATAGGGAAATGACTCACAATCTTATAATGTCATGACTCCCAATCATATTGTGTCATAAGTCACAATCCTATAGTGTCATGACTCACACTCCTATGGTGTCATGAATTTATTTTTTACAGTACCTGTTTGAAGGAAATGTCAGCGAAAAAGCAACCACTGGGACGCCCGTTGCTCAAATCAAAGCCACGGACCCCGACACAGGAATTAACAAACAGTTTGATTACTCCATGCCTTACAGTAAGTAGAGAGTAAGATGGTGTCGTATTTCTTCCTATGCTGATATCATTGTTACTGTTATAAGTTGCTATGGCCAGAGCAGATAGTGACTAGTCAGTTAGGGGGGGGGGGGGTAACTACTATTTTTCGCAACTGTAATTAAACGAAGCATTCACATATCACTTATTTTTATATATATATATAACACTACTCAGGCTAAGGTTCATTTCTAATGTTTAATAGAATGATGATTAAATACAGTTCAGTCATAATAGATCAATTTACCTTTATAGTTGCTATGGCCAGAGCAGATAGTGACTAGTCAGTTAGGGGGGGGGGGGTAACTACTATTTTTCGCAACTGTAATTAAACGAAGCATTCACATATCACTTATTTTTATATATATATATAACACTACTCAGGCTAAGGTTCATATCTAATGATTAATAGAATGATGATTAAATACAGTTCAGTCATAATAGATCAATTTACCTTTAAGCAAATTACGTGAGACCAATCTCACATGCGGCTTTTGTCATTGAATACAAACTGGCTGCTCTTGTAGTTCCTCACTGTCTACAATATTTACATTTAGGTATCATTAGGTATCACTACTCTGACACGAAATAGTTATTTTCACTCAGCTGAAAATTAACATCAAATATATCATTATGTTACAGATGGTTAGACTCAAGTATTTGCACATTAGTGATAAGTTAAGACTCTTTATTCATCCTAATAAATTGAATTTTAAAAATGTTACTATTATAGCAATTAAAAAACAATACATCTAAAGTATTTCTCTAGCGTAGTTGCCAGTCATCAATGAATTCCCTTAGTGACAATAATGACGTAATTAGTGCTCATTTAGATTTGGTCACCACTTGGGGGTGGGGAACACGCTGGTAAAATCGTACAGTCTGGGGAACAAAATAATATTTTTTCTTTTGTTCCTAACAAGAATTCTTGATCGAGCTGATCTTAGGTATCTGTGACGAAGTGATTGAGATGTGACCTTAGGTATCTCTGATGAAGTGGTTAGGATGTGATCTTAAGGATCTATGGTGAAGAGGGTGGGATATGATCTTAGGTATCTTTGATGAAGTGGATGGGATATGATCTTAAGGATATTTGATGAAGTAGGTGGGATATGATCTTAGGTATCTTTGATGAAGTGGGTGGGATGTGATCTTAAGGATCTATGGTGAAGTGGGTGGGATGTGATCTTAGGTATCTGAGATGAAGTGGTTAGGATGTGATCTTAAGGATCTATGGTGAAGAGGGTGGGATATGATCTTAGGTATCTTTGATGAAGTGGATGGGATGTGATCTTAAGGGTATTTGATGAAGTAGGTGGGATATGATCTTAGGTATCTTTGATGAAGTGGGTGGGATGTGATCTTAAGGATCTATGGTGAAGTGGGTGGGATGTGATCTTAGGTATCTGAGATGAAGTGGTTAGGATGTGATCTTAAGGATCTATGGTGAAGAGGGTGGGATATGATCTTAGGTATCTTTGATGAAGTGGATGGGATGTGATCTTAAGGGTATTTGATGAAGTAGGTGGGATATGATCTTAGGTATCTTTGATGAAGTGGGTGGGATGTGATCTTAGGTATCTTTGATGAAGTGGTTGGGATATGATCTTAGGTATCTTTGATTAAGTGGGTGGGATGTGATCTTAATGATCTTTGATGAAGTGGGTGGGATGTGATCTTAAGGATCTTTGATGAAGTGGGTGGGATTTGATCTTAGGTATCTTTGATGAAGTGGGTGGGATTTGATCTTAGGTATCTTTGATGAAGTGGGTGGAATGTGATCTTAGGTATCTTTGATGAAGTGGTTGGGATATGATCTTAGGTATCTTTGATAAAGTGGGTGGGATTTGATCTTAGATATCTTTGATGAAGTGGGTGGGCTGTGATCTGAAGGATCTTTGATGAAGTGGGTGGGATGTGATCTTAGGGATCTCTGATGAAGTGGGTGGGATTTGATCTTAGGTATCTTTGATGAAGTGGGTGGGATTTGATCTTAGGTATCTTTGATGAGGTGGTCGGGATTTGATCTTAGATATCTTTGATGAAGTGGGTGGGATTTGATCTTAGGTATCTTTGATAAAGTGGGTGGGATTTGATCTTAGATATCTTTGATGAAGTGGTGGGATTTGATCTTAGGTATCTTTGATAAAGTGGGTGGGATTTGATCTTAGGTATCTTTGATGAAGTGGGTGGGATTTGATCTTAGATATCTTTGATGAAGTGGGTGGGATTTGATCTTAGGTATCTTTGATAAAGTGGGTGGGATTTGATCTTAGGTATCTTTGATGAAGTGGGTGGGATTTGATCTTAGGTATCTTTGATGAAGTGGGTGGGATTTGATCTTAGGTATCTTTGATGAAGTGGGTGGGATGCATCTTGTGATCATTCGAACATTTAATGATTAGAATGGTTTTATTGGGCTCTGGATAGGATTGCTATATATTTTATACAGGACAGAGGCGAGGAGGCAATCTCGCGGCGCTCCCGTGTGTAGTTCTCCATTAAATAATACTTGGTTATTCCCTTTGACGCACCGTGACGATCTGTTAAAAAGTTCAGTATCCAACTCTTGATTTAAAACATGAATTTACACCTAACGAAGAAAGCTTTTTAATCATAAGGTGAGGGCGGGTGGTGTTAAGTGCTGACGCCCCTATCACCAGGACCGTCATTTCAGGTTGGTTTTTTTTTTTTTAGGTGTAAGGGTGCTCAAAAGCCTACACCAATCGATGCAATCACACCTTACACCAAATTATGTCATCACATCTATACTGCCATATGCAGCCAGACTTAAAATATGTACACACGAATTTCAATGAAGACAAATGGTTCCTTTGTAGCCTTGAAAGCCTGGGTAAGCGTCGGTTTAAGTCAGCTGGATCAATGGTTTCTAGCGTCATTTGAAATTTAACTGTGTAGCCATACGTTCCACGGGTTGTTAGAATACAAAGAAAAGATTTCTGGAAACATTGTAAAGACCTCCCCTCAAACATTGATGGATTTAAAACCAAAAATAATCACTTATTTATAAGGTGCTTAAATACGTTTAAAAATATTAAAAAGTAAGTTTAAAATGTGGTTTTATTTTAACACTGCTATTACGTATTGTCTGATAGCCCTTTACATGTACTCTACGAACTATTGAGTAGAAGTGACGATGGCCTTTCCTATAGCTAGCACTAACCTTGTAATGGTCAAACTATAGAGCATAAAGGAAGGTGACCACAGCTATAACAGCTTGCTGTATCCTTGTAATAACTACTACACTGCACAAAACCACAGAGGTAAGCAATACTACCACAATCATCATTCCTCTCCAGGTTCCCCATTCTCCATTGATGCGAGCACCGGTCTGGTCACCCTAACGGGCAGTATCGACTATGAGAATGAACAGGCTTATCTGATCCTGATCGAAGCCAAAGATAAAGGATTCCCGCCACTTACCTCGCAGACGTACCTAAATGTTAAAGTACTTCCTGTCAATGAATTCGAGCCAGCGTTTTCAGCTTACGGCGTTCAGACTGTGTCCGAGGGGGCAGCACCAGGTATGAACATCATCAGTCCAACATTTTCATCTTTTATAAAATTTTAAATCCAATATTTTATCCACAAGCGGATATCCATGTTTGTTCGCTAGAGTTAGCCAGGGGCCAGGGACTCAGTTTTTCACACGTCATGACTCTCATATATTATAATCATTGGGAATTTCCCAACAGAATTCACATTATGATATTAATTTAATGGTTGCTATGGTCATAGACCTATAACTGAACATACTAAAGGGGCACATGTATGACTGGAAATCTTTTAAAAACAAATTCATGATCCATCGTCAGCTTGAGCCAATGGCTTGGTCCGTTACACAATCATAGCCTAAGCAAATATATAACAATACTGACATGACATGACATCATTGCCTATGTGATTGATTGACCAAGTGTAGTCACGGGTTTTAACAAAGTAACTTAGATCATTGTGAAATATCTTTTCTGATCTAAAGACACCATATATCTCTTTGTTAAAACTTAACTTCATTTATTATTTTAAATAATTTTTTAAACAAAATTTAGACGCAGTTTTTCTTTAAAAAAAATAAAAATACTTTAGATTAAAAATAATTCACACAAAAATGTGTCATAAACTACAGAAGATGGATGAACTATTCTTTTTTTATTTCGTACCAACGAAACAGACACCATTGTCATTCGAACCAACGACACAGACACCATTGTCATTCGTACCAACGACACAGACACCATTATCATTCGTACCAACATTCAGGGTTGCCAAATAAATAACATCAAATTTCTCATTGATATATTATGCGCCAAAACTAGCAGAACTGACACTCCTGGATCTAAAACGCGCCTTGCGTTTGTCAGTGTTGGCATAACGCCAATTTTTTGTCACGCATCTTTGTTGTTAAATATAAAAGTTGAAGATTTAGTAAAATGATAACAATTGGATATGTAGTTAAATGGAAGAAGTATTTACCATTTTGTTAAACACTAGGAACATCGTGTCAATAAAAAGTCCACATATTTGTTATCACCTTTCTATGGTGTAGCTCTTTTTTAACCTCCAATCCAATGACTTAATTTATGTACCATCTATCCAATGACTTACTCAGGTACAAACATTGTCAAGATATCTGCCAGCGATAATGACACAGGAGCAGATGGGACGCTGATGTATCACCTTCTCAACGCGTCCGTTCCATTCATCTTGGAATCTCAGACTGGTCAGCTGAGGGTGGGCATCGGACTGGACAGGGAGCTGGAGTCGGCATACAATCTGACCATCATAGCAACGGACAGCTCGCAAACTGCTGTCAAGTCGGCCACCATGACCTTAAGCGTCCAGGTGTCAGATGTCAACGACAACCCCCCGGACTGCACACCGTTGGTCACGCTGTCTCCCCGACCCACAGACACTACCAACGTTCTCGTGACATTCGCATGTACAGACAAGGACTCCGGCTCAACTGGGTTTTCCTTCTCATTGATCTCTGCCGCAGGAAACTACAGTAGCCTTTTTGCGTTTGATCCTAAAGATGGGGCTGTTCGATTAGCGAAAGATGCCATTGAGGGTATCTATACGTTCGTTGTTAAGATAACCGATAACGGGAACCCAGCAATGTCCACCACGATAGCCGTAGAGTATAAGCTTGATGCGAAGGCGCAGCTCAAGTTGAGCATTCTCCCAGCGACCATACACGTGGTTGAGAACAGGGAAGTGGGCGAGTCCATTATGAACATAACATCATCCGGGACGTATCAGGCTGTCATTTATGACATCGTCAGTGGCAATGAGGAACACAAGTTTGACGTCCATCACACGACAGGGAACTTGAGACTGATTAGCCCCTTGGACCGGGAGACAACTGACAGCTACACGCTTGGAATAAAGGTGTCCACATCTACAGGTTTAAGCGCCACCAGCACGCTGACTGTGACGGTGGACGATTACAACGACAACGCGCCAAGATACAGTAATTCTTTCTACAAATTCACGTATGCAGAAGACATTACGGTTCCCACTTTGATTGCTAAAATAACTGGGACGGACGCTGACATCCTTACCAATGCAGCGATCTCATACTCAATATGTGGCGGAGATTCTAACAAGACATTTGATTACACGGCAGGAAACCTAACGATTAAGAAAAAGCTAGACTATGAGACCACGCCCTCTTACACCCTGACCCTGTGCGCTGTGGACGGGGGCGTGCCCTCCCTGACAGGGACGACCGTGGTGTTCGTAGCCGTCTCCAACACCGATGACAATCTGCTCACGATACAAGCCGGAGGGAACATCGCTCTAACACTCCCCGAAGACGCCACTGTCGGTTCGAGAGTTCTTCAAATCGCTGCCAGCGACGCCGACACGGGGTCAGAACTCTTCTTCGCCATAACCTATCAATCGGTCGCCAACATGTTTTCTATCGGCGAGCACACGGGGGACCTGTTCCTGAACTACCCCTTGGATCGGGAGTCGCTGTCGAAATACTCAGTTAGGATTAACGTGACGAACAACGCCGTGCCCGCGCGGAGCAACGCCACAGCTGTGAACATCACGGTAGCGGACGTCAACGACAATGATCCGGTGTTCAGTGTGGGCAATGCCGTGTTCTCTGCGGCTCACGGCACGCCGGCCAACACCTTGATTGGAGCTCTGAATGTCACAGACAATGACCTGGGACTGAACGGAACTTTTGTGCTGGGCATACTGGACGGAGACAACGCCCACGTCTTCAAGTTTATCAACTCAAATCTTTACTCTGCCGCTGTGCTGAGTGTGAGGGATGCCAGCATCTACAGCCTCACTGTAACAGCCACGGACAAGGGGAGCCCACCTCGGACTTCCACTGCTTACGTCACGGTTCTGATTGAGCCGGAGTATAAGCAGCCGTCCTTCAACCCGACGACCCAATCTCTCTCGGAGGAAGAGACGTTGAGCCCAGGTAGTTTATTGATTCAGGTCAAGGCCACCTACTTGAACGCCTTGGACGGGGCGTCGGGTGACCTCGTGTACTCGATCATCAGCGGAAACACCAACAACGCATTCTTCATCGAACCTTACAAAGGTCACGTGCAGCTCTTGAAATCGCTAAGTTACGCCACCAATACGTACCACACGTTGGTGATACTAGCACAGAACCGGTACAAGCCTTCCTTGAACAGCACCTTGACCCTGAACATAACAGTGATACAGGTCAATCTTTACGCTCCCCAATTCACCCAGGACCTGTACGTTTGGTCTATAAACGAAATAGCGGCGGTCGGGACCTCTGTTGGAACAATCAGCACCACGGACAATGACAAAGGTCAGTTCGGAGTCGTGACCTTCGCCATAGAGTCCGGTGCGCCCTTCACCGTCAACGCAACGACCGGACGCATCACTTCGACCAGCCTGCTGGAGTACTCCCAGGCCAAGAGCTACAACTTCTATGCCAAAGCCGTGGACAACGCCGGCGACGCCAGCAAGACGTCGTACGTCGTCGTGGTGATTAACGTCAAGGACTTCAACAACCACGCACCGGCTTTCACCAAGCCGTACTACAACATCACGTTGCTGGAGAGTCTGGCCGTCGGGGAGGCCTTCGCATCTGTTCTGGCCACCGACCTCGACTCTGGGACGTATGGGACCATCAAGTACAGCATCATTTCGGGTAACACTGCGTCGAAATTTTCCTTAGACGAGGACACCGGGGCTCTATCCCTGGCCGGTGCGCTGGACTACGAGACATCATTGCAATACATTCTCCTCATTAAAGCCAAGGACCTGGGTACACCAGAACTTAACTCGACGATACCCCTCCTAATAACCGTCGCGAATGTCAACGACAAGGCCCCTGTATTCTCACCGACGCGCGTCAATTTGGACATCCCCAGCGACAGCCCCGCTCTCACATACGTCTACACGGCCGCGGCGACGGATATCGACTTCGGGCTACCTTTGAGCTACCTCATCGAGTCTGGAAATGACCAGGGGCTTTTCAGCATCGGTACCGTCACGGGGCAAATCAAAACATCGAGATCTCTGGGCGGCTTCGATGGCTTCTATACGTTAACTGTTTGCGCAGTAGACAGAGGCGTGCCCTTTCTGACAGGAACTGTGACAGTTGTCATAGCAGTTAATCCCGTCAGCATCTCACCCACAGGGTGGAGTAATTTCACAGTTAATGAGAACGAGCCGTCGGGAAGTTTCGTCGGAGTTATCTACCCATCAGATGCGGGGATCACTGGGTACACCATAACGTGAGTCCACTTCTAAGTCATACACCGCGCACTACTTTCTTTAGAGGAGAGTTGCCGTCAGTCTATTTTTGTCAGTTAAAATGTGTTTAGTCTCATGAACTGTATATAGCTAATCTCTAAAGTTGTTTGAGAATGTATGCTTCTATTCTTTTGAAAGCAAAAACGAGAAGGGGTCGGAAGAATTTTAAAACGTATTTTTGTTTTTACATTGAATTATTTTCTGTAGTCTTCTGTAATGTTGAGTCGTCTGAATTGAATTTTACCACCCAAAACGACCGACTTACATATATTACACGAATGCATACTTTTAAGACATGTGTGTGTATATATATATATATATATATATATATATATATTTAAAATTATTAATCTAAATATTTTTAAATATATTTATGTATGCACATCTCTTAGTGATGTTGTGAGTATTTTCTTGACCCATACAAACTATTGACCTCTACAAACCATATATATATATATATATATATATATATATATATATATATATATATATATACACACACACACGTTGTACAAAAGTATATCCCCTTTTACTTTTGTGTCTTTATATATATATATATATATATATATATATATCTTTTTGTTTTTTTGTGTGTGTTTTTTACATATACAAACAATATATATATATATAACAAATATATATATATATATATATATATATATATATATATATATATATATATATATACACACTCACACGATGAACAAGAAGATATCCCCATTTACTTCCGTGTCTCTGTGTATAATGTAAATAAACATGTTCACTATTTAAAACAAGCTTCAGACGACAGAGCAAAGAGAATGCTAGGGCTGACAACTTTAATTTCATTCTGGCAATTTCAGGGGCGGCAACTATAACAACAGTTTTGAGATAAGCTTCAATAGCGACAAGTCTGCCACGCTGAGGACCAGAAGGTTGCTGGACAGAGAAGCTTATCCCTACTACCAGCTGTTGGTCGCGAGAACTACGAGCAATCCAATATCTCTTAGTGATGTTGTGAGTATTTTCTTGACCCATACAAACCATTGACCTCTACAAACCATCGGCCCGACCCATACAAACAATTGACCCATACAAACCATCGACCAATACAAACCATTGATCGATAAAAAACTTTGACCCCTACAAAACATCGACCCATACAAACCATTGACCCCTACAAAGCATCGACCCATACAAACCATTGACCCCTACAAACCAATGACACATACAATACTTTGAACCATAAAAATCTTGACCAATACAAACCATTGACTCCTACAAACCATCGAACCGTACAAACCATTGACCCCTACACACCATTGACACATACAAGACATTGACCCATAAAACCATTGACTCATACAAACCAATGACACATACAATTCTTTGAACCATAAAAACCTTGACCAATGCATACCATTGAGCCCCAAAAACCATCGACCCATACAAAGCATTGACCCATACAAACCATTGACCCATACAAACCATTGACCCACACAAACCATTGACCCACACAAACCATTGACCCACACAAACCATTGACCCATACAAACCATTGACCCATACAAACCATTGACCCATACAAACCATTGACCCATACAAACCATTGACCCACACAAACCATTGACCCACACAAACCATTGACCCACACAAACCATTGACCCATACAAACCATTGACCCATACAAACCATTGACCCATACAAACTATTGACCAATACAAACTATTTACCAATACAAACTATTTACCAATACAAACTATGGACCAATACGAACTATTGACCAATACAAACCATGCAAACATTACCTTATCTTCCTTCAACAACTTTAAAAAAAAATTCATCTCTCGAAGAAAGAGACGAGAGGAGGCTTCATAATCAATTTGATAAACAAACAACAGGAGGATTCAGTGTGACATAAGCCCAACGTGACTCAGCGTGACATAAGCCAAATGTGATTCAGTGTGACATAAGCCCAACGTGACTCAGCGTGACATAAGCCAAATGTGATTCAGTGTGACATAAGCCCAACGTGACTCAGCGTGACACAAGCCAAATGTGATTCAGTGTGACATAAGCCCCACGTGACTCAGCGTGACACAAGCCAAATGTGATTCAGTGTGACATAAGCCCCACGTGACTAAGCGTGACACAAGCCAAATGTGATTCAGTGTGACATAAGCCCCCGTGACTCAGCGTGACACAAGCCAAATATGATTCATTGTAACATAAGCCCCACGTGACTCAGCGTGACACAAGCCAAATATGATTCAGTGTGACATAAGCCCCACGTGACTCAGCGTGACACAAGCCAAATGTGATTCAGTGTGACATGTTGTTTAGTCCTATTAATTCAACTTAAGTTGATTTAAAATAAATATCCATGATGAGAGGGAACATTTTATTATATTATGTCATGGTAAAATGTTACTATATTGTGACATGGTAAAATATAACTTTATTATAACATAGAGAAATGTTACTATAATGTAACATGGAACAATATCATTATTTTAACTTGGGAAAATATTACTATGTTATAACATATGTAACATATTACTATATTGTAATATGTGGAACATATTTACACATTCCTCAGACGGTTGTCATCGAAGTACTTGATCAGAACGACAACGCCCCTGTATTCGGCCAGTCCCTGCTGTCCTTGTACGTGGTGGAGAACACGCCGTCGGGAATCAGCTTGGGTCAGTTGAGCTGGAAGGACGCGGACAATGGGGACAACGGCACGGTGGACGTGGCCATATCGCAGCAGTCAACACTCGGGGCCCAGTACTTCAGTCTCTCAAGCAGTGGTGTTCTCACCCTTAAAAAGTCCATCAACTATGAACAGATTCGGTCGCTGAAATTCTACGTCCTGGCCAGAGACCGCGGGACGCCGCAGAGGACATCGACTGCAACGGTTACCGTGACAGTTCTTGATGTCGTGGAAAAAATCAATTATGAAGGTGATGATAAGTAACTCATGTAAATCGTTGATTAAAAACGTTTTCTTCTATTTTGGATGGCCCACCATCAATGTATTGATCCTTCTGGCTCACACTATTCCACGTTTATTCACTCACACGTGTACTCATCAATACATGTGTCCAAAAGCCACGCCCCAAAATCATTTCAATCTCATCACCATGTATTTGTTACAACACCCGCTGCTCTCTACGCGTGCAATTTTTATTTAACTCGGAGAAAAAAAAAACCTGGAGCGGCCTTCTCAGATTCAAGTTCTGCCCGCGAATGGCTTGATCATAACCAGAGGCGTAGCGAAAGGCGGGTAGGGGGGACAGATATCCCCGGGCGCCAGCTAGTTAGGGGCGCGAATATGTACTTTGATATTATTTTATTGATGAAAATAATGGGTTTGAGAGTTGGAAAAAAAGACAAGGGGGCACTTTAAAATGAATCTTGTCCCTGGGCGCGAATCCTTTCCCTGGGCGCCAAACACACTCGCAACGCCTCTGATTAAAATTAAACATTTTCCCAAAATTTCGCGAGAGATTTATAAATGAAACAACGCCTAAAGACACAGTTTCTCGTATTAATCCTTTGTATGCATTTGGGATTATTTTTTGTATTTTAATATTCTTAAGTCCCACACGCATTTACACATCGCAGATTTATTTCACCAACTATTTCAGAAAAGAAACAATTACTTACGAAATTTAAAAAAAAGAACTTCATTTAGCGCAGTTATCAAAACTTTACTTCGTGAAATCAGTGTCACCATACTTCCTTTATCTTCCCTTGGAAAAAAACAGGAAAACTCGACTTTAGGAGTTGGGGTAAAGGGGTGGGGCTGAAAATTTGTTAGGATGTGTTGTCAATGGCGACGAGGCCGTGTGCCAAGTTGCAGCTCGATTAGTTGACGGGAAGTGGATCAATTAGTCACCCGAACAAAAGCGAAGTTAAGACAAAGGGTTTTAAAATGTACGCAATGATATGGCCACTCGGCTGAAATCTAAAGTTTGACCCAATGTTTGACGTCACAGTGTTCAACTCTACGTCATTCATCTCACACGAGTTCCCCCACGACGCCGCCAATGGTGACGTGGTGTGCACCCTGACCCCTGAGGACTTTGACTTGGACCCCACTGTTTCCAGGAGCAACAAGACGACTTCAGTTGGCTTTAACGTGTTCAACGTTTCCAGGTGATGAACGCTTGTCACGTGATACACTGGATGATTGAATGCAATCCATTTTTTTTTTACAAACTTAGAAAATATTGTTTTTTGCTTTTTTTTTTTTTTTTTTTTTTTTTTTTTTTTTAAACTGTTACGTCTTTAGACCCCCTTTCAACCAAACTTCACTTTTAAGAGTTTTTTTTTTAAATTTCAAAAAATTTTTTTATTTTTCTTTTTTTTTTTTTTTATTTTTTTATTTTTTTTTTTTTGCTTTTTTTTTTTTTTTTTTTTTTTTTTTTTTATTAAACTGCTACGTCATTAGACGCACTATCAACCAAACTTCACTTTTAAGAGATTTTTTTTTAAAATTCAAAAAATGATTTTATGTTTCTACTACATTGTTTTGAGACAAAATGAGACTTTTGTGATTTTTATATATTCTTTTTATGCGTGAAGGACTCGTACTGGTTTTGCTAAATGAAATAAGTGTCATATGAGGGGAGAGAAAGGGGGGGGTGTCAGTTCAGATTGAGGCACATTTTTTAATGAATGAGTCTACTTTGGGATTAAAACATTTATACAGTCGAACCCGCTTATCTCGACATCGTTTAACTCGCCAACACTGTTACGTCTGAAGTGGAACCGCCAAATCCTCTCTTTTTCTCCTCGGTTTTGGTGATTCTTTTACGTCGCCGAACCCTGATATCTCGAGCACAAAAGGCGGCAAAATTTGCCACTTAACCTCGGTTATCTCGATCGTCATGACCAGTCGCCGGCTTTGAACTCCGCAAGAAGAAATAGCAAACAACAAATAAAAAATAAGATTCTAGTTTCATTTTGTTTCTCATTTAAAATTTGCTCTAAATAACTGTAATATTTACAAAAATATTTATTTTCACATCATGTACATAAATAAAATTAAATCACATGTTTAATATATTGCCGCCAAATTCGTTTTCGATGATCTCGCTCATCGGTTATCTTGACCATGGGCGCCCGCAGAAAACTTTCGGGGGGGGGGGCAAAAAAAATCGATTAACTTTCCGGGGGGGGGGGGCAAAAATATTTTAGTAATGTTTTATGACATCAGCTTAGTCACTTTCTCTTTATTTTCTCTTTACTTTAATACATTTTTTGTCTATTTTTTTCTAATTTTTTTTTTATCCAATCAATCCGGGGGGGGGGCAAGTGCCCCCCCTTGCCCTTACCTGCGGGCGCCCATGATCTTGACGCTTTTTGGAAAAATCCCGAGGCCGTCGACATAACCGGTTTCCACTGTGTAACAAAGTGGCATTTAAAGAGATGAAGCCATTTGCCAAAATTAATGTTATACGACTTTATAAATAAATATTTTGTTTGACCGAAACATTTTGTTTTTTCCATTGACGTCTGCTTCTCGCTCTCGCCAACAGCTTTGCCAGTTCGGTGATACTCAACATGAAAGAGCGAGTCTTTGAGAACGGTCGCTACTTCCAGTGGATGATTCTGACCACTACCACACTAAAGGACGGCACGAAGTCCTACGTGGGTCTCATACGGCTGGACACGTTCAACAAGGACAAGCATTTGGTGGCAGTTACGACAGCCATGGATTTTGCTTCGTTGGGGGCCCAGAAGTAAGACCCGGACAATTTTATTTTTGCCATATCCGAAGTTATGCCGTATAGGGGTTAGAATAGGATGTTTTATTACATCATACCAGGCGTAAGACAATGACGTTTTATTGTGTCATACCAGGCGTAAGACAATGACGTTTTATTGTGTCATACCAGGCGTAAGACAATGATGTTTTATTGTGTCATACCAGGCGTAAGACAAGGCTGTTTTATTCTATCATACCAGGCAATGTTGTTTTATTGTGTCATAGCAGGCGTAAGACAAGGATGCTCTATTACGCCAGGGAGAAAATGTGTAGAGCTTTTGTTGTTTCCTCAATTACACCACACACACACTGACCCAGATGTTAAGGGTTAATGATTGTCACATACAGACGGAGATGTTAAGGGTTAATGATTGCCACACATATGATTTAATTATTTTAAAGTCAATAGTTTAACGAGTTCAATGAGTCAATGACAATCATGATGAAAGCTTATCATGATGATAACTTTAAGATGAAGATAACTTCAGGAATATGGGCAAGATTTTGTTTAATAGTTCATTATTTTGATGAAAAGTGGGACCCTATGATTATGACCTCATCGTGTCAGGACGAGAATTGGTGTGCTAAGACGAGAGTTGGCGTGCCAGAAATAGAGCGGGTGTGTCAGGACTAGAGTTGGCGCGTCAGGACTAGAGTTGGTGTGTCAGGACTAGAGTTAGCGTGTCAGGACTAGGGTTGGTGTGTCAGGACTAGGGTTGGTGTGTCAGGAGTAGGGTTGGTGTGTCAGGACTAGAGTTGGCGTGTCAGGACTAGAGTTGGTGTGTCAGGACTAGGGTTGGTGTGTCAGGACTAGAGTTGGCGTGTCAGGACTAGGGTTGGTGTGTCAGGACTAGAGTTGGTGTGTCAGGACTAGGGTTGGTGTGTCAGGACTAGGGTTGGTGTGTCAGGACTAGAGTTGGCGTGTCAGGACTAGAGTTGGTGTGTCAGGACTTGGGTTGGTGTGTCAGGACTAGGGTTGGTGAAAGGCAATTTAAATTATCAACTGAACTATAAGCTTTATTAGATAATTTTGGTAGTTTTAACAAATAAAAGAATCTCACAATTTGCTAACTCAGTTTTCAACACGAAATAATTTACGTTTCCACACAAGAGCAACAAGTAGAATGATATAAATGGTCTCATTTGATTCTAACATGTTTTAATTCTCCAGATCCACGATCAGAGACAGTCTACAGACCAAGTTCAGTAAACCCAACTATGTGAAGATCTGGGACATCCAATCGGTTGCATCCACCACCGGCAGGAGGAGACTACTGGCTGACGAGTACGTAATATACTTGTGATCGGTTCATCAATAATTGGTTCATCAATGATTGGTTCATAGTATTCGATTCTAAACTAAGTCTGATTTCTGTAACAAGTACTATCTAAACAAGTGCTGTCTATAACCATGTATATCTTTTTGAGAGCTGCCTGTAAAAAAAAATACCATGTCTCTATCCCACAGATATGTTACCCTAGTCAATGTACGCAACTTATCGAGTACTGTCTGTAAAAAACAATGCCATGTCTCTATCCCACAGATCTGTTGCCCTAGTCAATGTACGCAACTTATCGAGTACTGTCTGTAACAAACAATGCCATGTCTCTATCCCACAGATCTGTTGCCCTAGTTTTGGTGCTGGCCGACCAGGCAGCTGATGACATCAACAACGTTGATCAGACGAAATCTTTCTTGACACAGGACGCCATCTTGTCTGTAGGTCTTGACCAACGACTCCTAATTACTGTTTGCGAGACCGTTGATAGCAGTCACAAGGAGAAAAAAAATATTTGCTATTAATAGATTATGGAGAGATGTAATTGTCTTAGCCAATTTTTTTTCCCAGTCTTAACCCTAGTTAGATGTGCCTAGGGTCCTCTACTGTGAGTTCACTTGTTAGATGTGCCTAGGACCCTCTTAAGCTTTAATACGGAACGTGTTCGTAGGGATCCAATTTTTAATGTACTATTTTTAAAGAAATAAATATTCATGAACACACATTTCTGGCTATCAAAGGTCATGTGAAGCATGTTTGTCGATATTATTTGTTTTTCATGCTAACAAATTGCGTCATAAGTTAGTTTTGCGTGTAAAAAAAATTAGGATGAACCCAAAATCTATTTTGTGTCAGGTATATAGTTCTAGTATAGATCCGCTTTCTAAAAAATGCAACAAAAAAAAATCATGTAATAAGAAATAAATGGTTCTATTTTCAACGTGTAATATTCGAGCCAATTACAATGTTTTAAAATTTACTATGGTCCCCAAATATTCAAGAGGCAAAGGCCTCTCTGAGCTTCAATCTGAGTGTTAATATTATAAAATGAATGAATGGGGCAAGATGGGTTTTTATTTCTAGTCTCAGGCATCGTTAGATTAGACTTTTGTCTAGATCAGACATCGGTAGACTTGACGGCTGTCTCGATCAGACATCGGTAGACTTGACGGCTGTCTAGATCGAAACGGGCTCTGAAGACTTTACAAATACGGTATTAGAAGTTTTAAACTTGAGAAAACCCTTTATTTCGTCTTTAGCAAAACACTTGGGCATTACATTATTTACAGTAGTGGTTATTGTGTCACTGCTCCAACATCCAGGCACTTCAAGGTTCCAAAGACGGTACACCCGTGGCAGGACTGGACGCCTCCATCAGTAAAGTGTTGCCCTATCGTGACGTGGTTGAGGACAGCGGCCTCGACACGTCCATGATTGTCCTGATCGTGTTCGCCTGCATCGCTGGACTGGTCATCATCGGTGTGATCATAGCCCTCCTGGTTTATTACTGCGTCATCCGGAGGAAAAAGTGAGTTAACTGGTGCTACCTTTAACTACCTGTAATCACCTGTAAGGACTTGTAACTACCTGTAACGAGAGTCCTTTTAACTCAACCCCCATGTCTTACAGAAAGCTGGCTACTGTAACTACTTGTACTTTTTTGTAACTACAGCTCTATGTCTTAAAAATGTTCAAAACCTTTGGTGTAACAAGGATATTTTTTCGGGGTTGAGGGGGGTGCATCAAAATCCAACCAACAGTGCGACATACATTCCATTTCATGTGTGATCTTTGGTTGAAATTTAGCTAAATCCTCGCGAATTCTCCCCATGTGAACCTAACACAGTGTCTAAGACCACACAACACACTACACACAACACACAATTTTTGGTCTGTTTGTGACACTCTACTAAAGTATGTTTTTAAAAAAATCTTTGGTTGTTTTTAGATCCACTTTAGGCTAAGTTTTTAGATATACTTTAGGATAAGTTTTTAGATATACTTTAGGATAAGTTTTTAGATATATTACAGGATAAGCTAGACAATATTCACCTGTGTTATAATACATTAATCCGAGTTTTATTGAAAGCAACCAAACAGCTGCACGAGTCGTGGGAGACTCTTCACTACAAAACTATTAAATAAGTGTAACACATTTTTTCCTTTTATTTCCTCAGAGATGAAGAAAAGACAACTCTGGGTAATGTCAAACATTTGGACTGCCTAATTTCTAGTTTTTAATTGGAATCATTTTTTTCTTAATTCGCTTTCACATTAAATTGGCCGTCCTGTTTGAGGTAAAATCAACATAACAGATGGCGTGAAATCTGATGTAGAAAATATGTGACACTTAACTACTCGAACTAGAAACTAATGAATACACCCACAAAATTTTTCAAATTATTGTTGAAATTTTAGCACAGTGCTCAATAAAGGAAAAGCAAAAATAAAATGCACTTGTATCTTTTTTTAGAATGTCTACAGTATTATTGAATAGATTTGTAAAAATATAATCTTTTGATATATATATACACATAATTTTAATATGTGGATGATATTTACAGATGTAGACATAAGAAAAACGAAAAAAAAATGTCTGTTATATATTTTTTATTCTAACCTTATTTTAATTAGCATGTACATTATTTAAAAAAAAAAAAAAAACCAGTTGAGGAGAATGACCGAAGGAGAGAAACGCAGTTTACATCTCCCACAAAGTCATGTTTATTTAATAGATTTGTAAAAATATAATCTTTTTATATATATATACACATAATTTTAATATGTGGATGATATTTACAGATGTAAACATAAGAAAAACGAAAAAAAAATGTCTGTTATATATTTTTTATTCTAACCTTATTTTAATTAGCATGTACATTATTTAAAAAAAAAAAAAAACCAGTTGAGGAGAATGACCGAAGGAGAGAAACGCAGTTTACATCTCCCACAAAGTCATGTAAGTTTTGCCTAAATTTAAAGGTCACGTTAAACTAGTCGTCAATAGTGGTCAAGTTAAACTAACTAGTAATCACGTTAAACAAGTTCTTAAGTTAAGCTGGTAATCACGTTAAGCTAGTGGTCAAATTGAAATTGACCTAAACTCCAAAACAAATTATTATAGAAATGTAGAAATGAGATCAGCTTTTCAATGTAAAATTTTCAAGTGAATATTTTAGCACCTATGATTAAAAGAATCCATCTTCCCTAATATGTTATAATCAAGCATCAACACAACGTTCAATTTTAGCGTTTCAGCCAACCAACTTAAATGGCGCCCACAGCCGAAGTGTACCGGGCCCTTACACCCGACGCTCTGAAACATCGAAGCGCACCTTCCATGCGGTCAGTTCTGAAAACCTGTCCGATAGCTACGTCCTTCCGTCCCAACCAGACTCCGTTAAACCAAACTCTGGTAGTGCTTCCGTACGAGACCCACTGGCAGGTAAGCGAGCGTGCACCGATTTAATCATAAAAGTAAAACATTTTAACCTAAAAATACTTTCATTGAAAAGCCTTAAATAACATGGTGCAGTTTGATCAATAGTTTCAGTTAGTGTTAAATTATATTAAAAGTGTTTCAAAATAAGGTAACATTCATTTTTTTTAAAGTTCTTTTAAATTTTAAAAGATATCTGTACAATTTGGTCCCACTTCTAAATTCTCTGACTGTATTTTAGGGTCTTGTTTAGAGGAGATGAAGGTGCTTTAAATAATCTAATATTGCTTTTGTGTTTTTGTTTTTACCTTGTAACTGCAAAAGCGTTGTCTCACTAATTAATTAACCAATCTCTCAGTTTAAAATCTAATTTTAAAATTATTCATTTATTTATTTAGAATAGAAATCAATTTTAAAAATATATGATTGCTTCATAATAAATTTTGAGGGAAAAATAACTTTACCAATTCATTCAAATAAACAATATTTTCCTGAGAATATTTATCAAGTGATCACCATGTGCAAAGCAATCGAGATTTTGATGTGATTTATTTTGTATCTGTTAAAAAAATGAAGTTTTGTGCACATCTTTTTTAACCTATCCAATCACTGAATTTATAAAGCAATATAAATAAATACATGTATTTGTAACATCCAAGATCGGAAAGCTTATGCCGCGCATGCGCTATAATCAAACATAAAAAAAGCTTTCTTATTTAAAAAAAAAACAACTTTCCTATGAGATACAGGGTAGAACTAACAAAGCCAAGACTTTCATGCAATAATCATAGCTGCAATATTTGTGTGAATGCTTTTAGAAGTGTAGTTTTAAGTTAAGCCCTATACCATCATTGATCGTTTTTGTAGGCCTCTAACATAGACTCTACGTTGGCAACTCTGTATACATTGTAAACGACTCTGTCAATCGGCCATAGTTTATTAACCAGTGCATGAGTCGATGCTGTACTATCTCACCGTGAAGAATAGAACTGATCGCATGCAACTAACACTGACGCATGGAAAGCATCTGTCACAGCATGTAACTAACACTGAAACGTGGAAAGCTATGTGTCACAGCATGCAACTAACGCTATCGTGTGGAGCTACGTCTGTCACAGCATGCAACTAACTCTGTCATGTTGAGCCACGTCTGTCCATCGATGTTTTGAAACCACTTTCATGAAACATTTTATTTCTCAGCGTCACGTGACTGCTGTCGGTTCAAAGGTCAGACTTTGTCTGGTGCTCGTGAAAGAGTTGAAGATCATCCCGCGTTCTCATCTGTAATCCTTATTAAGACAATCATACCTGTGAACTGTCAGCCAAGGAAAGCAAGTTTACTTCCTCAAAGTTACCTAAGAGAATGCATCGCAAAGAAAGACATGCCTTTAATTCTTGGTGCAGCTAAAGACTCCAAACAGCCAACATATTATTTGGAAACTGTTGCGAGCAAACTGAGGACCATTCTTACTTGTTTGCGCATGCGTGGGGACACAGAGATGTGTCAACGATATGGCACCACCGCTTATGTTGAAAATGACGTCAAACAGAGTCCCAGTTACGCCCGCCTCTTTGATTATTTCAGTGCCAAAGGTTTAAGTATAGACGTAAATTACGCCTTTGTTGACGTAGCTAAAATGCTGTGTAAGATCTTGAGAGCTGATGTGGCAGCTAAAATAATTGATCAAAACAAAGGCCACAAACGTACATCTGATATTGTCTTTGACGGTGACTCCAAAACTCTTTCATCTGATTCGAGGGCCCTAGGAAAAGGTCTCGTCACAGGAGATCATTTAAATCTACATAAGACAATATACAGAATGATGACCAGAACATCACCAGCCATGAAAACTTTGGTAGATTATCAAGAGGAGAATGAAATAAGCGGACTAAATAAACCTGGTCTGTACACAAATATCAACTCACTCTGTCTGGAGAGTCAACAGCCAGGCCGTCGTAGAGTTTTACATGTTGATTATAAATTGAGCAGACGTGCAGTCCCCTCCATGCCGTCGACGTCTCGGGTTGTCAGGGTATGCTGTGAAAAGAAAACAGGTGGAGCTATACAGAAGATGAAACAAACTAAGACCTTTTGGCCTGTTCATAGCTTTGTAGGTTGTGCATGTATGAGCGGAAACTTCAGGCTTGCCAAAAGCTGTGTGGGTTGTAAATGTACGAACAGAAACAGAGTTAAACAACCGGAAGGACTAACACCAGTATGCGTCAGTGAAAATTTGAATCAACCACAAGTTGAAACGGTTGTCCCACAGGGCGCGAGGGGACGACATTTCTGTCACCACGGTAAGATAGGCGTCCAGAAGCATGGGGGAGGTCAGAGACAGACAAGACGTCAGATGATTGAGGAGCTTGAGAAGCAACAGATCGACCAAAATATTCAACTGCTGGAAGCACAGGACTTGAAAAGGCGCGAAAGTGTTTTATTGAGAAAATACAGACACCAAACACATTCCTCTGCTGGGAGCACTAAAGGAGGCGTTAAAAGATCTTTCAGTAAACTGGGTAAATCGTGTTTACCTACGGCAAGAGAAACTGTAACTCGAGTAAACAGTTTGGGATTTGAGAGAGCGACCATGTATTCGTCTCACGTGATCGAAAGCTACAAAAGTATGTTCAAGTCCCAGCTTCCCATCTCATCCTCTGACCCCGAGTACGTGAAATGGGTGAAGCGGCTGTCAAGGCGCTGGACGGGAACGTGCTACGAGCAGACACCTCTGGCAGAGCAGGCGTCAGACAAGTCCAGATGATGAACTTCCCTGGCCACCCAAGTTTCCCAGATATCTATCTGCGAGATACAAACTTTCAGATAATCTCTTTAATCTCTGCCGTGATCCGTTTCAAATATTCCAGCAGCGATTGGCGAATCCACCACGTCCTTTTTTGAAACCGTTGTGTCTATAAATAGCTGGACGTGAGCGCTGAAAGAGGCATATTTATTTTAATCTTAATATCAAAGAAGTATCTTTAAAATATGTTCGTCGCAACACACAAGTTGAGAACCGTTGTACTAGACTAACTATAGTCTAGATTGGAATTCTACTGAAATTCTCTGCAGATTGTACATACTTGGTAACTTTCACATTTTATATTTTATTGTATTGTCTCTTTCTATTTTCATTCAGAAACAAGGTCTACAATTGTATAATAATAATGGTGTTCATGATATGTGACACAACTATCTGTGTAACACAAATATTGATTTAACACAACTATGTCTATAACACAAATATTGATGTAACACAACTATGTCTATAACACAAATATTGATGTAACACAACTATGTCTATAACACAAATATTGATGTAACACAAATATTGATTTAACACAACTATGTCTATAACACAAATATTGATGTAACACAACTATGTCTATAACACAAATATTGATGTAACACAACTATGTCTATAACACAAATATTGATGTAACACAAATATTGATGTAACACACCATTCATGTAACACAACTATTGATCTTACTTTTTATGTTAACACATTTTCACCATTTATTACCTCAATTTATTGGCATTGTTTGGTCAAATTTTGCATTTATCATTTCAAAATATCAATCACAATCATTGACTTATTAGACATGACTTCCAAAGTCAGAATTTTTTTTTGTTTTTTTCTTCTTGCTTTATGGGCTTATATATTATTTAAAAAAAATCTTTTTGGACTTCGACTGCGTCATTAATAAATGTTGGTGTAAACAAAATTGTGACATTAATTAAAACAATTAAGTAGTGACGTAAACCAAACTGAATTCAGACTAAAGGACTGGGTTATCGTGACATACACACAATTTATTGAAATGATAGACTCGCAAAGTAATACTTCAAGGAAATGATATATGTAAACCATTTTTATTTATTTATATTTTATATATAATTCAGATGATTTGATGCTGTCCACAATCGAATTTCTTTGTAAAAATTAGTTAAAGTAACAAGGTAAAGGTGAATTAAAGTGTGATTTTTATTATTTGGGGGGGGGGGGGGGGGGGGGGGGGGGGGGGGGTGGACGGGGTATACATAAAATACAAGGAAATTTTGAGAATTATAATACAGTAAAAAGAAGTATGTTCCAACTACGCAAGATTCATTAATACCACGATATACCGGAATCTTGAGTAAATTAGAGTAAAAATATTCAAAATCTGAATATTCTTCCTCTTCCCAATAGATGTGTTTTAGAATTATATTTAATTTTTTAAAAATTTCACAACAAAATATTTTTCTTCTTCTGTTTTTGTGTATCTATTACAGAAGCGTCTTTTCTGTGACCGTGATTTAATTTTAATTCTTTGACATCATTGATTTGCAGTTTGCTTTGTGATTTTCGAACATCTAGTGTAATATTTGTATGGTTTAATTAACGTCAAATGGCATCATCGAATTTGTGTGGTCTAGCGATGCACTATTCCATATCCAGGTTAAAACATAATTGTATGACTTCCTTGTTTGATCAAAGTTCAGCACATTTACAGTTTCAATCATTGAAATTTATGAAACTTTAGATCTCTGGTAGAAAATAGAAATGGATTGTTCGTTTAAATCCTCCAAATAACTTTGTACCATGATATATTTAGTCTATCGCAACCTTCGGTCTTCGTAAGACAATGGAGTAGCAACACGTCATCAAATGGCTTACTAAACCGATCCTGGAATGACACTCTCGCCTGCATTTCTCGCAGGAGAGCCTTGACTCCTGCTTAAATTTGGCCTTCTGTATCATTCTTTATTTTTGAAATGGATTCGTTTCACACATCTTCTTCCTTTTTTAAGTTCCAGCTGGAACGATGATCAGCGATAATCTCCCATGCGTTGATTTCTAGATTGACATCCCTCATGCTAGATTGACATCCCTCATGCTCCTTTTGCAAACGTCCTTAAATCACAAACCGCGGCCGTCCAATAAGCCTTGCCCCTTCTGCCAATTCTCCATACAGCAGATCCTATGGAATACAGCCTTCCTCCATTCTCCTTAAATGCCTAACCAGCGAAGGCGCCTGATGGTAAGAGAGGAGAATATGCTATACATTTTTTGCACGTTCCAAGACCTTTGTGATTGGCACCTTGTCCTGCCATCGAATTTGCAAAATGTAACACAGACATCTTTGATGGAAGCTGTTGAGTTTTCGCTAATGACTGGGATGTGTGGTCCATACTTCCATTTAGGAGCGTAATAAGCACACATAGCTGACATACGCTTAGTTTTGTACTATCAGTTAGTGATAATTCCACTCCGGCTTATTCAATTAAGCCATAGTTGCTGCTGCTTTTGTGATCCTGAGATTCAACTCTTCGTCAACGAAGAGTGAACAAGAGATATTGGATCCAAAGGTATGTGAAATGCTCAACTACAGACAGATTATGGCCCTCAACAGATATGTTTGAAGGGAAGGGTGCTTCTTGCATCATGACATGTGTTTTTCTGTAGACTTATCGAAAGTCCGAACTCTTTACAAGCGAGAGACGACTAACTGGCCGTTGAAGACCCCCTGTATGGGGTGCTAAGGCGGCATATTGAGCTAACAGCGGTTCACGAAACTGTACCTTGTCACGGGTCAAAAGATCGCGTCATGTTGTTCTGGGTCTGATTGTGAGCGATAGTCATGTTTTCCATTAGTTTTCCCTTCTAATCCCACGCATGTTCTCAGCCATGCATGACTGTGGCGGTGAGTCGGAAAAAAAAAAACACGTGAGAAAAAGATTGTGTGAAATGATCGTTGTTTCGAGAGAGTGACATATCTGTTTGGGGAAAAGGACTTCGTTCATTTTCGCTAGGAGTTGTGTTAACTATATTTTGATATAGTATACGTATGATATCTGGAAACGTCTATTTTATTCTGAACACCAGAGATTATTTCTTCTGCATTTTCACTGGGATGCACATGAAGTAAATAAATAATAAGAAACATGAATCTTTGCATCGTTGGTTTTGTTACTTGAGACATTCAACACATCAGCTCTGTAGAGGCAAGAAAGAAAGAAAGAAAGGTGTTTTGGACCCTCAAATTTCGTTCTGTTACTATGACGCAAGGAACCGATTTCTCCATGACGTACTATTCCCCACACCTTATTTTTAGTTTACCTTGGTCTTTGCACGAAGATTGAATCGCCTACCACCCGATCTGGTGTAGTTGTCAACGCCGTCTTCACAGTCCCTGAAGGCAAACTGAAGAAGATTCGAAAAGAAAATGGAGAAGAGCGTTGGTGGAAATACACGACCTTCTTTTTTATACTCTGCTGCTTACTGGGAATGCCACTTAAGTCCGCGCCATCCAATGTTACTGTGCTATGCATGTACTCGTGAAATGACTGTGTTATCGGGGGGGGGGGGGCTGGGGGGGGGCGGACACCTATTTTATGCAAGATACTGAAAAGGTCACTCCGGCGTACCTCGTGGAATGACTTGGTCAGATCTATGAAATCAATTTAAAAAGAGGCAAATGCTGTTTACGACACTTCCCTTGCAATTGGCGTAACGAGAATAGCATGTCAATAGTCGAACGACCACTTTGGAAGCCGTACTGGGCCATCTGGATAGATGCGGTGAGCCAACTTCTGCAATCATGGGCGACACGGGGAAACGTCTTTCCAAGTAAGCCAAGAAGAGAAATTCCTCGGACACTATTACAATCAACACGGTAAACTTTATTTTTGTACAGAGTTACGATTTTGGCGTGTATCGTGTCCTGGAGCATGTGACCAGCTTCCCAACACAGACTCAATGTGCTTAAGTAAGGGCTGAAGTAGTATAGGTTTTCCATTTTTGAGTATTTCCACAGAACTGCAGTCAATCCCTGGTGCCTTCACATCAGCCAGGTAATCAGTTGTTTTTTCGAGCTCCTGCAAAGTTGGCTCTTCTTCTAGTTCTTCCATTATCAACAAGACGGGGATATTATTCAGAGCGGTCTCAGTGACTAACTTAATTGTTGCGTATAGTTCAAGTTAATGATCGTCCCTACGCCAAACGATCACCTAATGCCCTCTAGATGCCTGCGTACATACATCCCCGTTGTCGAAAGCCAATTGTATACAGTGGCAAAGTTCCGACCAGTAAGTTTAGGCACACTGGCGGCAGTCTACTGAGATTTTTTTTTCCCTTCTTAGAGGCTGTAGTGTACGAGGTCAAGGTACAACCTTGGAGGCAAGTAGGGCTCTTCTCTTTGTCTCAGTTGCGGGTCACATCACCTTCCAATGCGCCTCGTACCAGTATTTTACTTTTATGCTCCCTTTTCCCATAGTCGGAGACGGCTGAATCGTACACAGCACCTCATAAATGAGTCCCCTTGGAGACGAGAGTGTCAACGTGTGACCCTTTGGCAAAGGTATCCTGCAACACACTTGTAAACTGTTGCATTTTTTCTGGGTTGCTTAACATCCATTGATGTATTTAATATACCACTATTATTTAATTTGATATACATGAACCTTACTGGAATATATTGTTATATGTATCTTTTATTTTTCATTCATAATTTTTTTTTTACCTTTCGACAATCAATTTTTCATCTTTTATTGTTTGTAGCAAAATCGCTTCACCTTTATTGATCTGAAAGCTTTGTAATTTTTGTTTGATATTCGTTAAATACCGTCTACACTGGTGGGTCTAGTGATTGAGCAGGGGTACTGGGCACACCACATTTACTTCATTCATTTTTCTGAATACCAGGAACATTAGATTTATTTAACTTTGCTTTGTCTTTTTTGTTTGTTAATGTCATAGCCATCTCCTTCTGTTCATATAGTTAAGTGTCCAGTCAGATTGAACAATTTTAAAATAAATGTTAGAAAAATATTCAGGAAATATTTAAAAAAAATAATAATAAATATAGCAATCCCGAAAATAAGTAGCTTTTCTCTGCAGAAACAGCCGGGGTTCGCTCCGACGCCATTTTGAATAGCAATGAGCCCAAACCGGATGCAGACGATGACGGAAGACCAACTCTAGCCACTGTGGCGACTTATATATCCTCTACTTACACGCCACCCAGCGGTGGTGCTGACAGACTACCAGAGCTCCAGGAAGACTTTGAGATCAGCAGCGAAGCTTGATCATTTAGCTAGACGAATCCACAAATCACTTCTATGGATGAAACATTTATGGATTTAAATATTTATTTTTAAAACTGTATTACAAATTGAAGTAAGGTGTATAAAATAATTTTTAAGGAAACAAGTAATGAAATAAGTAGAACGTAATGAGACTATGACGTCAATTCTTTATTTCTAGAAGTTGAGGGTTGAGATGAGAAGATCAAAAGTTCCAAGATTCAAAATAAATTTCTTGTTATTAAAATAACAAACGGTAGATTAAAAAATTCAAAGAATGTGTGTTTAATTTCAATGATTAATGCACCAGTTATATGTGGTGTCACTAGATGGTGAGGTTGGTGGATGGACAAGGGGTGTTTGGCCAAAGGGGGGTGGTTCTTTATATAAGCCCAAACAAGACATGAATATATCATGGTGAAAATGTATTTCGGGGGGGGGGGGAAGGTGGTGGCTTTTTTTTTAAATCTCAACATTTACACCTCTGCAAATAACCATCACTACCGCCCACACGAACAAAGGTCAAAGGTATGGATTCAATTAACTTTATGTAAACACCGAACACGTGACTCAGTGTACTACTGTGCGTCATTTGTTAAGTGGCTGACATGTTAGCAATGACTTAATCCCAGTAATCCCAGACGCCATTCAAGCAACCAGAGATCAATGTAACATTAAAGTTACGCTTAAACGTACTCTCATTTCATGACGGAAAGCAAACAAATCTTAATAAACCAACAGCTTAACCAAATAAAAACTATTTGAAATTATTTCTTATCTTTAAATTTAAAAAAAAAATAATATATATTTTTTTTTTTGGATTCGTCATCGAAAGTCAATCTTGTTAATTTTTATTGTTGAAGCGTAACACATTTAAGACAACCTCCAAACTAGTATTCTTTCCCGATAGGGCGATGGCGATTGAACATTGCCGAGTTGAGCATTACTCATGGGCCACCGGGCCATGACCCAAATAACAGACACACCTTTGCGACACCACTACTATAGGAACTATTTTTTTTAAAAACTCTGCTTTACAAATATTGAAAATTATGTAAAATAAAAATCTGAATTCTTGATTAAATTAAATGTATTCTACACTATCAAAACACATCTTCATTAAATTATTCCTTGTTTGTTTTTGTTGTTTTTAAGTACTATAAATATTTCAGAATAGAATCTTGAATCTTGAAGTTAAAAAAAGAATTAAGTGAATTCATTAATGAAAAGAAACAAATTAACATTTATAAACATTTAAAAAATAATATTGTTAGCATGAAAACTGCATAGTGAATGAAAATACGGTTAGGCCAATGTTAGCTTCTGAAGATCACTGTATTTTAAAAATTCAATCAATGTTCAACGTGTACTGTCAACTCAACCTCATTGATGCCAAGTAGCGACAAGTTGAGATCCATTGATCAAGTTTACACATCTCTAATTGACGTCCCAGATTAATGATGACTAATCCCCCGTAAAAGTACAAGCGCCGTGCAAACAAATGTTACTGACATGTTCCTATTAAGATCATGGACCTTAAGATTATGGACCGAACCAGATGGTTGGCAATCATTTTACCGGAACCCAATGGCCTTTCTACAACGTAATGACATTTAATAGCTTTAAATTCTGACTTAGCCACGTACGAGACGAATTCACCATTTATGGGGTAACTAGGATGAGCATGCGGGTACAATGTGAGATTCTGCCATGAAAAGATTTAATACATACACCTTTCACTCGTGTTTACCTACGTTTCATCATGTATGGGGCTGTTAGTTCTTCAATGCCTAGTTACTCCAATCTCCCTAACTAGGGATAAAAGAAATCATTCCCAGCAATTGGTCACAATGATGCCAGCACTTGGTCACAATGATGCCAGCACTTGGTCACAATGATGCCAGCACTTGGTCACAATGATGCCTGATTTTTTAAAAAGTGCCATTAACATTCGTGCTTTTCAATATTCCTATTATTTATCATTAGTTTTTTTTAAAGCCCCAAAAAGAGGGACTGACCATTGAGTTACCACATATTCCACTAGTCAACATAAGATACTGGAGAAGTCATCACACATCTGCCTTCACTTAGCTTCTTAATGACGACACAACCCTCCAGAGTTTGGTTGTCAGTTTAACTTTCATTTAAATGTAACTGTGATTCAAAGGTAACCTTCACTGCTAAGATTTTTTGTTTTGTTACTGCAATATACGGAACAACATTTTTACGTGGGTGTAGGTGAGAAAAGAAAACACCTTTATGACTAATAACGGAAGTTGATTGCAAATCAATCCACAGGACCTAGCTGTCGACCTAGAACGGAAGTCTCTGGCGTCCAAACCTGACCTCGGATGCTCGATATCTTATCGCTTTACTATCTTTTAGGCCCATGTGAAAGAAAAGGTCTGCAAGTTAAACTGATTAAATATAAACGGGTCCAATATTATTATGAACCCCATATTTAGCTTTCTATGCTTAACGTCCAATTCTTACTCATTCATAGTCTTGTCAAATACTCATTCACGGTCTTGTCCTATTCATACTAATTCAAAGTCTTGTCCAATTCATACTCATTCACAGTCTTATCCAATTCATACTCATTCACAGTCTTGTCCAATTCATAATTATTTATAGACTTGTCCGATTCATACTCATTTATAGACTGTCCTATTCATACTCATTCATAGACTTGTCACCCCAAGGATTTTTATTTTTTAAATATTTTTTTTAAACCCCCGTTGACCTTCTGTTTATTCCACCAATTTCGACCTTCAGTCAAGCCCTGATTTCCTCCGCGACTTTTGGGGATCGCTGGCGTTATGGAAAATCCTTATGAAAACATTGCAATCAAAACCGATTTATTTGAATATTGTATTAAAGTTTGCGCAAGTAGGCTTGTCTGTTTTGCCGCATTCCGATAAGGGACGGCGTTGTCCGACACTGTGCTCAGACATCAAGGGTATAAATAGTACAGTCCATGGCGTCACGTCAACGGCTTCACCTTTACCTTGGTAAGATATGATATCAACTGTTTAAAATGTTATATTACAACATAAGGGAACAAAAAAAAATTATTTAAAAAATCAGAGAACTTGATTATAATATAAATGATAAAAATTGCGGTCACTTTAATTATTTATAAAATAAAAATTCATTTATGAATAAAATAAGGCTTATATTGCAATTGAATTTTTGGAAAAAAAACTATTATGAAATTTGTTAAAATTTTAGTGTCTTAATCGGTTGTAAAATAAATGTTTAAAGCTGCCTTCAGATTAAAAGAACCTTTAAATTTTTCAATTGACATTGCATAAATTATTTTTTTTTAAATCGAAAGTAATCTTTACCATTTAACAGCGTCATGACACATGCATTGTTGTAAAATGTATCGAAGTCAACGCCTAAACTAGTTTTTAATTTACCAACGTCACGTGAATGTATTTATTTATCATTAATTGCAAATAAACTCTTAACATACTAACATTTATAAAACTCTAGGCATCTCAGTGTTGAACAGCGACCCCAAGGAACCACTACTCGTCTCACCATGCCATCACTTACCTCCCATGTTATGACACTTCTGTTGGGTGTTGGGTGCCTCATCGTTTTAGCCAGTGCCACGCTGAGGGGGCAAACTGTTACAACGAACACCTGTGTTTGCGTAACAGAAGATGCACCTCTGTACAACAGAGGTACGTTGTAACATGTTGATACCACATGACATACATGTCATGATCTCGTCCACTCGTTAAATCTGTTTCTGCACCCTTCCTATTTACAACCTATCGACCTGGACTTAATTTTTCTCTCTTTCTCCCCTCTTTACCTATATTAAATTTCTTACCGATTGTTTACGACATTACTTTTGCTTTCCTCTCGGATACAACAATTCACCTAATTTTTTTAAAACATGTTTAATTTATGTTAATCTTTGTTAGTTTGCTGAAGAAGGCGTTTAGCCGACACACTCGTCGTTTTGTTGCATCTTCCCCCCCCCCCCCCCCAAGTTTTCCCATTCCTTGTTTTACATATTTCCTACGCTAAAGAAACCACGTGACGTCATTTGCTCAAAATATTTGTCTTACTGGAGAGTTCGTTCATCACACGTTTATGTGTGGCCATTTTGTCATCAACTTTGTGTATGGCTCAGCCTCCTACTACTGGTTATTGACATCGTGTTCAGAAATTAAATGTTACATTTTTAGCACTATACACGGTAATTTTTTTCTTTTTTTCAAAATAATTAATAGCATCTTTAAAAAAATGTGTTGTTAAATAATTTCCTTGATTAATAAAATAGTATTGTAAATTAAAAATCTGCATGCCTACAAATGATTGTTACAGTCATTATTATTCCAAGGGTAATAATTAACCCGTAACCTGCGCTGAATGTTTTTAATTATTCTTTTAGAGCCGAGGGCGAATGAAAAGTTGAAAGGAGATACGATTCAATTATTATCGTTCATTCCGATACGTAACTCGTTGTGGCTGATTGAAATAAAACTTAAATATAATTGTACACTTAAGTGTTATGTTGACTCAATCTTCTGATGCCTTATGTAAAATCTGCAACTGTGATCATTTTCATTCGTGACAGCTGGCTACCAAAACTCCGTCAAACGGTACTTGGTACGTGGCATATGTGGATTGGCCACAGGTGAGAACCTGTCGATTTATGGCGAGACGTGGTTCAGGATTTCAACAAATGGCGAGGTAGGTCAAATTATGTGATTATCATATGTTAAGCATGTAATCTTTTTTTCTTGTCTATATTTATATTTTAATATATTCGCATTTTTTAAAGAGAAAAAATAAACATAAGCCTTTCGGTAGACAAACACACACACATACACACACATATATATAAATAACGACAGTCGCCTCGGGTCATAATCTGTCGGTAGTTGAGCATTTCCCATACCTTGGATCCCATATCTTTAGTTTATTCTCCGCTGAAGAAGAGGTGAACATCAGGATCGCAAAAGCACCAGCAACTGTGTAAATTGAGTAAGCGGGTGTGGAATAATCTTTTAAAAGTTGAAAGCAAAAAGACTAAGTGTCTATCAGGTTTGTGTGCTTAGTACGCTCTCATATGGTAGTGAAGTTTGGACCACATATGTGAGTCATGAGCGGAAACTCAACAGCTTCCAACAAATATCTCTGCGTCGCAGTTTGTGCATTCCGTGGCAAGGCAAGGTGCCGAACACAGAGGTCTTCGAACGTGCCAAATGTGTAGCATGCTCTCCGTCCTTATCAAGAGACACCTTCGCTTGCTGGGCCATGTAAGGAGATGGAGTAAAGTCGCGTTCCAGAGGATCTGCTGTATGGAGAGTTGGCAGAAAGGGCAAGACTTTTCGGACGGTCGCGGCTGTGATTTAAGAAAGCACATACTAAGTAAACTATTGAGAAACCTATATCAAACAGTACTTGGCGATATTTCACTGTAATAGCGTACGAGACATTAACAGCCATTGGTTGACTCCCAGTTCCAGATATAGCCATAAGCTAAATAGGCTACAGCTCAGGTCCTCGCAATCTGCCAGCTATATGTATTTATATTTTTCTTTGACCAGCTGATGTAATTTAAAAGTTTGGCTCCTCATAATGAACCAGTCAGAGCTAAGCCGAAGAGTGAATTGGGTTACTCCTACATCGAGCATTCCAAGAACAATCTATTTTAAATACATTCAAGAGATATGGCTTATGAATTTTTTTTTACTAAAAAGCAAATAATTTTATATGATAAATATTTCCATGGCGTCATCTCTTGTCATTTACTCTAGTCATATGTTAACAATTTCTTGTGAAAGGATACTCTGATGTTTGAGCTCTTATATGTTTTAGTTCAGATGTGTTTGAGCTCTATGTGTTTTAGCTCATACTTATAAAATATATGTTTTGGTGTTGCGTTAAAATTTGGCTGACCATGATTAACTCGATTCATATTGTTTCAATAACACCGTCACCAATCAATTTTGAAGTCTCTCAAATTCAGTTCATGAACATTGACACATCATTTCTTTAACTCTCAACAGCTTATGTGGTCAGCTGGACGTTACTTTACAAAAGCGCCCGAAGGCAGAACTCCCGGTAAGTAGAAATGCATGTAATCAGGACGGAACAAAAAAAGATCTTAAAAAATTACAATATAAATTTCCTTTTTAAAAAATAAATAAATTAATTGTTACTCAATCACCAGTTGCGTTTTAAAAAACAAGAACATAAAAGAAAACAACAGCTCTATCTTATGTCAGGCATTGCTCAATTTCAATCTACAGAAATGTATTAATATTATTTTAATGTAAAAAAATAATACATATTATTTTAAGTTTAAAAAACCATGCAAACTATGTAGACAATTCGTATGTTGAGCTGTCTGGTATAGATTTGTTTACGTGCATACTAGCAGTACTTTTAACTTTTATTTAACTTTTAATTTTAAAAAAAAAATTATTTTCGGTCATGTCTTTAGAAAATAAACATATTCTCCAAAACGTTACAAGTCTCGTAACTATGGCAATTGTGTAACTGAAATTCCCGATAAATAAAACTGTGGCCATAATTTGCATAATTTTCATACAGGTTTTAAAAAACAGGTTGGGTCCAATGTTCCCTCTAAGGGTTGTTGGTTCGTGTGCAAAATCATACAGTTGTGTGCAAAATTTTAAAGCCCTTAACACAAACACACTTATATGGAAATTTGCTGCGCGAGACTCAAAACTGCTGCGTGGCGTCTGCGAAATAGCTGCGCGGCCGCGCAGCCACGCAGCTTAAAGGGAACATTGGTTGGTTCTTGAGCAATCTTCTACGATTCTGTCCTGTCAGAATATGACAGGCGATGTCTTTAATCTCGCGACTCAGGCAAGCAGCGACAGCTTCTGCTTTTCTCGTTCAAGATGGCGGTAGACCGGAGTTGCACATAAAAAATATATTTAAAAAATTGTTGTTTGTAACAGTAACAGGTAACAAGCGGTGTCTACACTGGCAAACCATAGGTCAAGGTCATGATGGGTTGCCGTTGGCTTCACGGATATTAGTCCAGACCTAAAGGCTTGGATTAAGTGTAATATGGAATCCTTCTTGAACTCTAACAAAATTTAATTTTAATATATGTATGAACAATAATTTAATTTGTATTTTTTTTCCCCCCAGATGCCTGCAAACTGCCGTAAAGAGTTGTGAGGTGCAATACCGTAAACATTCTAAACTCAGTTAGAAAAAAAAACAACCAAATAATAAAATTAAAATAATTACATCATTCCAAAAATGTTTTACTGTTTTTCTCAATATGTTTGTGATCTATATAAACTGGAAGGGAAGAAACAAAATTTAAATAATACGCAGGTCTATAACTATTTAAAAGCCTTTACATTACTTCGCGTTTGTTTGTAGCTAGCTGGAGGACACAACTTTCGGACGACTAATTGACCCACTTCTCGTCAAACCGATAGAGCTGAAACTTGGCACATAGACTCATTGCCGATAACAACACATTCTTTCAAATTTGAAGACCCAACCCAAACCGCCAAATAGAACTTTTTCCTGTTTTTCAAAAGAAACATGAAAAAAAATAGGATTCTTTAAGAAAAACAACAATATCGCAAGTGCGTTTGGTGCGTAATATTTTCTTGTGTTTTTCTGAAACAGTTGGTGAAACAAATCTGCGGTGTGAAAGCGGGTGTGTCATTAGAATTTAATATAGTTTCAAGGGTGTGAAAAAATGTATGCTTGCGAGCCTGGGGGGGGGGCAGTAATTGTGATTTTTATTAAGTATTACTTGCAGGATTTCTTTCAGCTATATCTCCGGGGAGGGGGTGAGTTCCCCCGGGAAAAGCCAAGTGCCCCCCCCCCGAGGAAAAATATGTCCAACAATAAACCCACTGGCACTGCCCCCCCCCCCCTTTTCCGAAAATCTGAAGTGCTCCCCGGGGGAAAATTTCTGAAAGAAACACTAATTATTTGTATGCACTTTTGGTCAAATTTTCAGCCCCAATCCCCATTGCTCGATATTAAATTTTTATAAAGGATGTATACTGTAATCTTTGCTTTTAAGGACTGTTGAATTAAAGATTACTTTTTAATTAAGCGATAAAATAATGTTTAACGTATGTCCAATAGGGGATTCACGGAAATCTTCGTGTTTTCGCGAAGTTACGGCAAAGTGTGAGGTCACTTAACTTCCTGTTCTATAAACATTTAGACAATGTTCGTTTTTTGTTTATTTTCGGCCCTTCTAATAGACACAAATTCAAGTAATTTACTTTGTAATGCAAAGATATATGTATATATATATATATATATATATATATATATATATATATATATATATCATATGAGACAGAATGATATATTCATTGAATGTTTGCTCTCAAAAACAAGAAGAAAAATATATATATACAGTCTCTCTTGTTCTATATACATTTAGACAATGTTTGTTTTTTGTTTATTTTCGGCCCTTCTAATAGACACAAATTCAAGTAATTTACTTTGTAATACAAAGATATATGTATATATATATATATATATATATATATATATATATATATATATATATATATCATAGGAGCCAGAATGATCAATTCATTGAACGTTGGCCCTCAAAACCAAGAAGAAGAATATATATATCCAGTCGCTCTCAGAGACAGCCAGACACTTGGAGTCCTTTAAAACCGATTTAAAAACACATCTATTTCGCAAACACCTTCTGGGGTGATGCTATCTACCATCTTTTTCAGTTAATGTATATTGGCCAGTGTTGCTTATGGTTGAAACGGGATGAAAGACTTTGACTTGTAATGCTTGTATGTAGTTTTATATTGTTGCGTCTGTTTTTTAAACGTGATAAATTTTAGATTGTTTTTATTTCTATTTTTAATAGGGTTGACTTTGTAACGCGCTTCGAGCTCTTGGGGATGAAGTGTGTTTTTCAAATAAACTGTATTATTATTATTATTATATATATATATATATATATATTTAGGCCTATATATGAAGGATCCTCTAATAAAATATACAACGAATTTACTAATTCGAGATTTCATTAAATAACATACACAATTGAAAATTAATCAGACGGAGAGAAAGAGAGGGATAGAGAGAAAGAGAGGGATAGAGAGAGAAAGAGAGGGATAGAGAGAAAGAGAGGGATAGAGAGAGAAAGAGAGGGATAGAGAGAAAGAGAGGGATATAGAGAGAAAGAGGGATAGAGAGAAAGAGAGGGATAGAGAGAAAGAGAGGGATAGAGGGAAAGAGAGGGATAGAGAGAAAGAGAGGGATAGAGAGAAAGAGAGGGATATAGAGAGAAAGAGGGATAGAGAGAAAGAGGGATAGAGAGAAAGAGAGGGATAGAGGGAAAGAGAGGGATAGAGGGAAAGAGAGGGATAGAGAGAAAGAGAGGGATAGATAGAAAGAGAGGGATATAGAGAGAAAGAGGGATAGAGAGAAAGAGAGGGATAGAGAGAAAGAGAGGGATAGAGGGAAAGAGAGGGATAGAGAGAGAAAGAGAGGGATAGAGAGAGAAAGAGAGGGATAGAGAGAAAGAGAGGGATATAGAGAGAAAGAGGGATAGAGAGAAAGAGAGGGATAGAGAGAAAGAGAGGGATAGAGGGAAAGAGAGGGATAGAGAGAAAGAGAGGGATAGAGAGAAAGAGAGGGATAGAGAGAGAAAGAGGGATAGGGAGAAAGAGAGACATAGAGAGTAAGAGATAGATAGAGAGAAAGATATATATAGAGATGTAGAGAGAAAGAGAGAGTAAAATATTTCAAAATGTTTAAAACCAATAGCAACAGACAAGGATTGATTAAAAAGTGAACATGGAAACATAATGATCAAGCCAAATTTGTATTTAATAAAACCACGCAACAGAGCTATTTCAACAAAACTGAGTCCCAAACGGCGATCCCAGTCATCAGACGATCCCAGTCATCAGGCGATCCCAGTCATCAGACGATCCCAGTCATCAGACGGATTTATATAAAAAAAAAAAAATCTCACGCCTGACAGACCTTGACCTATATCTCAAATAGAATTTGTAGGTCGCCAGTCTGCACACAACCCTCAAAAACATTAATCTATGGAAAATGCAAACACATAGTCCCACAAAAACGCACATGGCTTTTGAAATGTGCAGTTGGTTATATCTGTAATTTAGTAATGCAGAGGAATACACAATGAAGAAAAACTATTCCATTACTAACACTCAGGTGAATCTTGACATTTTATTTTTACATAATTGAGACTGAATAAGTTTTCAGGCATCAAAGAAATGGAATATGAAAAAAAAAGTATCATCTTTATTAAGTGTATGTGACCAGATGATATTTACTGTAACCTCGAAATGTATGTTGTATGCTGGAGGTTAGCTGCATCCTCCAACACAATATGATATACATACCCACTAAATTATGAATGAGTTCCAGGCACACAATGAAGATCAAGTAAAGACACACACCCATAATAGAAAATCTGAGTCTGGAGCTTCTGTTATTTGAGTACATTGACAAACGAACATCATGTCATAATCAACCAAATAGTTAGCCCTCTATCAAAACAAAATTATTGTTTTAAAAACATGTCAACTTCTTAGAAGTTACTCAGAAAATAAAGACATTGGTCTAATTGTCATTGGTCTCATTTCCATCAGTAATGAACTCAGTCATTGGTCTCATTGTAATTAGTAATGAATTTCAGACATTGGTCTCATCGTCATTAGTAATAAGCACTGTTATTTTTCTCATTGTCATTAGTAATTCTCAACTTATAATCAAAAGAAATACAAGTTTTCATGAGTCTTAAGTAGACTGTGCATAAATAATGGGCTTCATTATTCAACGGGCAGGATCAAGATGTCCAAGTATTCTTAATATATCTTGGAGGGGATTGCCATTCAATGATCTAGCCCCAACAACCAGGTAGTTTTAAATACTTTACAATATTGTTACTTTACTATTAATGCACACTGCCTTGGGGAGATAACTCCCATAGAAACGCTAACCAACATGAAAGCAGCTGGTACACTGCCTTGTGGAGATAACTCCCATAGAAATGATAACCAACATAACAGCAGCTGGTGTCGTTATGATTGTGTCAACATTTTAAAAGCATTCTATTTTATACACTAGAATTTGAAATAATCACATGGTTACGTGTAAAAAAAAAATATTAATACTATGTCTCGATAGGAATGGCACTGCCAATATTTATAATAAACAAGACACAGATGATCGTTGCTGTCACAACATGGTAGGCATGTACACTATTATGCAAGATTGTACTTAGTTTGGAGTGATTCCATGAATTGGTTTAAATTACGGCTTTACAGCATTTCCACAATACCATCAAAATGTGTTTTTATATATAAAAATAAAATATGACTCTCACAATTGCAACAAAAAATTTCTCCTGATTTAGAAAAAGTTTAATTTCATTTTCAAAGAGCGTTTTAATTTTTAAGCCATTGTTGCAAATGATGAATAAGTGACTAACAAATTACTTTATGTCTTTGCTTCAGTTGTGTGTAGCAAACCAACTCTACAAATTGATTCTGTCAAGTTTCATTAAACGGGTTTAAAAAAAGAATATTTTAGTGACCATATTTTTATGGAAGCTATTTGAAAGTATCAAGTCTAAAGAGTTTATTGAAATGGAACAATAAGACCACAATTCTTTATGTTGTCAGGCTTCAAAATAATAAAATGCTCATATAATTTCAAAATATATATATGAAAGAGCCACAATTTTGTGACTCTATATCTTAATCACTTTTCATATTAAACATTTAAAAAAAAATTGTTTTCTTAGACAAAGATGGCCTATATATTTAAGATATATTTAAGATATATAAGATACAATTATTTACATATCAGATCATATACCTTATATTAACATTTAGATATATTTTTAAATTATTCCACCGCAACAGGAATTCAGACAACAGTTGAAAGAAAACAAGTTTTACAAAGTAAAAAAAAATGCTCTTCTAAGGCAGAGAATATATTTCCTGAACTTAACCTCATACTTTAACCTTTGTCTTCACCACAGTACAAACTAATATCTATTTAACATACATATACCTTCAGTAACAGCATCTGATGGCATCTCTTAATCTGAAACAAGCAGTACTTCAGGTTTACAGTAAAGACCTGTATTCATAATGAAACTATTTTCACTAGAAAGAGGAGAGTATTCACTTTATAGAAAGACTAAGGGCTAAAAACAGTAATTTGATTATCTCACAATTATACACAACATTATAGAAAAATAAAAGTTTGAAAACAACATATTTTTACCAAATGAAAAGTTTTGAAATTATAAGGAGAAAATGGCAGTTTTTTTTTTTTTTTTGAGAAAATTATTGATTATGGAATTTGATATGCAATATAAAAAGTTAATTAAGGAAATTGACATTTTTAAACACAAAAAATGTCAAAGTAACACGTCATCTACATGAGGATTTTTAAAATCCACAATATTGGATCAATTCACAGGTCACTGCCAACCAACAACCAATCAGAAACTGCTGGTCACAAGGAGGAAACAAAAAAACAAGCCATTAAAAAAAAGGTCTCTACCCATTCAACTGATAGAAGAACTGTTTAATGAAAGTGGAATGTGGGTTTAGAACTGTGAGACACACAGCAGCACCAATAAAAGATTAAACATCGTTTAATTAAACTCACTGACATTTGCTCTAACTCTTCTCTTTAAGAATGTCTCCTATATCGAAGGGGACATCCCTTTTTAACAGTTGCCTACCCATGGTAAGCATTTCAATAGTTAATAAATATTTGTTTCATTGTCTAAAGTGTGTAATGTATCATTGCCTTATTGAGGTATAAGTTTAATTTGGAGCCTGAAAATTGTTCTATTTTGTTTCTGAAATCATAATATCAACATCATAGTATTTCCATCATAATAATATCATAGTACTCACATCATAATATTAACATCATAGTACTAACATTTTCAAAAGGAAACATCACAATTTCAATCAACATAGCAACATATAGATTCCTGATAGCAGTCAACAACTTTTTATAAGACGGCCCTTTAAGTGCTTCAAATATTATAAATAATTATTCATACTGTAAAAACGGAAAAGAAAGTGTGTAAGATATTTAACTTAATCCTTGCTCACAGTCATTAATGTATTTAGAATTTAAAAACATTACACTTTGCGAGATCCATAGAAATTATTTAATTTCCATAAATTGGAGACTTCTTTCCCCCATCTGTTGGCTCCCTTCAATCTGATTTGACACCAATGCGATTACTGACACTCACAACTCGACTGTATCTTTTAACACTAGGCGCCCTAAAAGATGATAATCATTTAATTAATAATATAACGATAGTTCTCAAGAAAAATATGCAAATAGCAGCCATGTGTGCCCTGGTCCCAATCAGACTAAAAGCTATTCCAATGTCATTTGTGGTAGTTTATTTTAGTTAAACTGAAGAAGTAAGTTTAGAAACGTGTAGTCCATTCAATTATCTTTCATTGTATACCAATTTTTGTCTTACAAACCCAACAATAGTATATTTAATTTTTTTTAAAAATCCAACCTCTCACTTCTGTTACCGGGGCCGCATAGCCACTTCGTTTTTATTTATTAAATTTAAATATATTTCGGTTTAAATATTTATTGTACTGTAGATAAAAATAGTGGTGAATTTAATTAACAATAAAGTTACAATTAGTAGATGATTGAGAAAAATCATTAAAATGTGCATAATATAGAACTCAATTTCAATAAATAAAGTATCTTAAAAGATAATTAAAAAAAAAGAATTTATTTATGTTTGCCATTATCCAACAGCAGTCATGTAACTTATTAAACTGTCCGATTTATGCTTTGACACAGGACCACTAGACATTTGAACAAAAAGTTTCATAAACACTTTTCTAATAATCCAGGAAATTCCTACCATCAAGCAGGCCATCCATGACTAGTAAACACTTCTTTACACTTCAGATATTCATTTTACACATTGACATACATAAAACAATACTCACTTTGTTCGAAGTCTTATGTCTTCATTCAATTCAACTTTAGTTACACCAGACCACACAGTAGACCAAGTCTGGCCACCATCTCTGGACATTTCTATGACCAGCCCAGGGTAGCCCAAAGATGTCTTTAAGGTACTGTTTATAATTCTAAATGAAGAACATAATTTTTTAAAATCTTGAATGTGTCTGTTTCTAAATTAAGAACCTTTGAGAAATCTTGCTATTTCTATAATGAAAACATTTTATTTCAAATGCATACTGCACATATCAGTTCATGCATTATGACATGCATCATTTGATTGGTCATGTGGTAAAACATAGATACATCTTAAGTTTCTTTTAATACTGGAGTCATGTTCACATACAATTAATAGTGTTCAAAACTGTAGAACTCAAAACTAAGGAAAAATCGAACGGAAAAATAATTTTAAAAGCCTAATAAAACTTAACATTTACCTAAAAAGACTTGTTTTTAACAACAAAAAAATACTCACATAGCTCCTGGTGGTGGTATTCTGTAATTATAACCAAGGTGATCCAATCTCGCAAATTCTCTGTAGCCAACACTGTTTGCAAAATCTGTCCAGTCAGCATTCATGGCTTTCATTCTAGCTTCATTATTCTTTTCATTTTCCCAAGAAGCTAAATCACAGTTTGGACATAAATAATGATCAGATTTAAATAGCTGAACTGTAAGGTGCTTACATTACACATATTTTATATTCTCCTTAAAATTTAGAGACTTAATGTAATCTGTGTTTAAACAATTCAAGTAATCATATTTTGAGTTTAAAGAAAACTTAACTTCGTAAATAACAAAAAGTAAGAGCCACTAAACACTGTGGAGATAATCGAATATATATCAAAATAACATTACAAATAAACTTTTAAAAAACCATTCCAATATTTATTTTTCATAGGAACAATTTCGGTTCATATTTGCTGGTTAGAATTGCATTTTTTAACAATTCTTTAAATGAAAATACTAATTTTTATTTTTAAAAATACATTTACAAAGAATATGTGAAATTGTACCTGGCATATTGGAGTCAGACAAGGTAATCACTTAACTTACCTTCATGCCAAGCTCTTTCTGCCAGTGCCAGTAATCGTGGGAGAATCATGTAATCTGTGATATTCTGACTGCGCAAAAGTTCACCAAAGAGTACAGCTTCAATACCTTAACAAAAGCAACATGAAGATGAAATTTTAAATTACGTTTTTACAGTTCTGTATTGTTTGTTTACAAAAATGTTGTAGTTATTTCCCATGATATGAAATGGAACAAAATTGAAAAATATTTTTTTTTAGCTAAATGAGCATAATTTTAGAGGGAAAGAAAAAGGTTCAGTTTGCTTTCCATAACAAAATAAACTTCATTTCCAAAAAAAAACAATTTGAGAATTTTCAAAGTTCTTCTGATAAATATTGGTGCACAAAGAAATACCTTTAAATGTTTTTAAAACAGACCTCATTAATAGTTATGGAACCTTGACTAATGCCATGTACCAATGCATTATCTCCCTTTCTTACCTTGATTAGGCTTATTTTTCTTCTTTTATCACAATTTAAACATTGAAAATGGGAGACTAGCGTAAATTAGACTAAATAATATACCTATAGCATTTTATCTAACTATAGAGCTGATGATTGCTCATATTTACAAACTGCCACCAAGATATACAATTTTCCTTATGTCAGTGTTCTTACCTTCTAAATTATCTTTTTTATTCAGCTTTGGGCAAGCTTGGACATCATCACACATATCAGACGGGGAACCGTCTGCTGTGGTGTCTGAGCTGATGTATAGGTTGGCCGGTATGATCCCATATATTTGTTTGCTTTGCAGATACCTGCGAGCCCATATCAGACCTGGCTCATTTGGGTCTGGCTCATAAGGGTGATCAAAGTAGGTATTGGTTGCTGGAGTTAGGACAACCTGGTTTTTTTAATTTATACAAATATTATGAACTTAAGTAAATGTTCTTTCTCATCGAGGACAGAAACATGATTTGATTAAAACATTGTTTGTATAAATTGGCCCATGAGAAGTTAGATAAGAAAGTAAAACCTTTACTTTCATTATAGAGTAAAATTCTGCTGACAAATTTTTAATATTCTGATAATTTACAAACCATCAACTGATCCAGTTATATCAGGATTCATAAATGATAACCAACAAAAGGCTGACAATTTTTTTGTTCACCACTTTAGGATTAAACAATAATAATTTATGGCTCAGTTCACCTTGTATCCATTATTAGCAAGTACATATGCTCGCTTTGTTTGTCTCAGTTGCCATAAGTTATTCCAGGCGTAAGCATAAACATTTCTGAATAAAAAAAATCAAAAGGCATTTAAAATTTGTTCAAAATGTGATATTAATATGCATCATTGTCAAACTTAAAATAGACTGCTGTATGATTATGAGAAGGCTTTTTATAGTGTAGACTACTGTAGACAGACAAACTTTATGGAAGCTGCTAAGACACTACAGGGTACCACAAAAATTGACAGACATAATTAAGGCTTCTTACGAAGGACTGTCATGCAGCATTGTTCATGGCCAACAAACAACTGCGGCTTTAGGGGTATAGACGGATGTCAGACAGGGGTGTCTGCTCTCGTCTTTCTTATTCCTGCTGACCATTGATTGGATAATGAAAATGTTTACAGAGCAGAAGAGAAATGGTATCCAGTGGACACTATGGAAACAGCTTGATGACCTGGATTTTGCGGATAATCTGGGCCTAATATCACACACACAGCAACAGATCCAAGAGAAAACCAATTATGTAGCACAGTAATCTGCTTGCATCGGCCTGATCATCCATAGAGGAAAAAGGAAAGCCCCTAAAATAAATACATCAAGCAACACACCTATAGCACTGGAAGGAACAAACCTTGAGGAGGTGGATAGCTTTACATACCTCGGCAGCATCATTGACATACAAGGAGGGACAGACGTCAACATAATAGTGAGAATTGGCAAGGCGAGAATTGCATTTAACCAGCTAAAAAAGCTGGAGCTGCAGCAACTTGACCCTTCAGGCCAAGGTCAAGGTATTCAACACCACAGTGAAGCCTGTCTTGCTATATGAAGAAGAAACATGGCGAACAACAGCAGCTGGATCAAAAAAGCTACAGACGTTTATCAACTCAAGTCTCCGAAGGATTCTTCGAATCCGCTGGTCCAACATCGTCACCAGCGAGGATCTCTGGCAGCGCACACAACAAGAACCAGTGGAAGAGTTAGTCTGCCAGCGCAGATGGATGGGGGCCACACCCTCAGAAAGCCCACATCTAGTATCACGAGACAAGCCCTCACCTGGTGCCCACAGTGCAAGAGAAAATGACGTGGAGAAGGGAGCTGGAGTCAGACAACAAAAAGAGAGGGCAGAACTGGAGACAGCTGGAGAGACTGACCCAAGCACCTGGATGCCTGGAGAGCCTTTGTTTGTGGCCTATGCCCCAGACGGGACGACAGACGATGATGATAGGTACTAGGTACATTTGTAATGGACCACTTCACTGCCACTCAAATCACATTTTGTGGAATTGTAATCTCATATAATTGAAATCAGTTAATGTGAGGTTTGAAAGAATAAATAAAACTTTGGATGATTCATTGACTTGAAAAATAATTCAATAACTCCTAAAGCTAAACATTTGACAAAACATGTATACAAGTAATGAACTTTATAAGAATCCCAATTAGTGACACCCCCCCCCCCACTCCTCCCTTTAACAAAGACTCGCAACTGTACATTTTTTTTCATGCCACTGAACTATATTAATACTCTAATAACCCACCCACTTTTACACTGCAGATTTATTTCACCAACTTTATTTCAGAATAAAAAAAGAAAATTAAATGCACTTGGGATATTTTAAAAAAAAGAGAATTTCATTTAGCACAGTTTTTTTGTTTGAAATCAGTGCCATCATATTTCCTTCATCTTCCCTTTTAAAATAGTGTGATTTTTGGGGGGTTGTGGCGGAGCTGAAAATTTGAGAATGTTTTGTCTTTGGCCAGGAGTCTATGCGCCAAGTTTCAGCTCGATAGTTTGATTGGAAGTCGGTCAATAAGCCGTCTTAAGATTTTCACAGTCTGCCACAAACAAAATGTGAAGTTAAAGGACTTTAAAAAAAAATCAAATCAAGAAAATGGATTTAAACTGTAGGAAAAAAAGAATTAACCAAATGTTAAAACTGTAATGTCTAATAGAATGATTCTATTTTTTAAATCAGTTTTCTTCTTAAACATACCGAGGAAAGAGATCCTTGCTCACGGATCTCTCATTGTCGTCCATGACCCCATCCTCCCAGGCACCTACATCAAGGTTAAATTCAGCTGCCATATCGGAGACTTGGGTGATGAATATCTCTTTGATGGCTTTTCTCTTATCCATGACACCAGTAAGATTTAGGCCATTGCATATTGGGGACTGGGTCCATGTATTCTTTGGTACCTCATCTCCACCAAAATGAAATATCTAAATGGACAAAGAAATTAAAAGTTTTATACCCCGGTACACTAAGTTCAGGTGCATGAATAAAACACTTCAATGCCTAGAGTTAAAAAATAATGTCTATACTGACCAATTTAACACAACAACCTTAACTTTCAATGTGATGTTGCTCAAAAGTAACACTGGGCCCATAGTCTATAGATTGTGGACCCTTCTTTTTTTGTTGGTTTAAATCAAACAAAATGGGGTGGTAGTGGATTTTGGACCCTTGATACAGATGTAAATAAAGTGAGAAATGAGAGTGTCACCTTTGGATCCAGCAGAGGCCTGTAGTATTGACTAAATTTAATGGTGGAAATGTATTTGCATTAAAGTTCTTCAATAAATTGTAGTTATCTGCCCTTTCACTTTAGAGCACAAGTTCCTAAAGTTTGTTTTGTTGTGACTCTGTTCCAGTGTGGTTAAGTTACCTTTTACCCCAAAACATTTAAAACAAAAAATTTTATTACGGTAAAACATTGCATAGAATATAGATTATTTCAGTATATTATAACTAACAACATATTTAGTGCCATAATCGAGATTTTTATCCAAACTTTAATAGAACAATTAAAATGAAATGGCTTTAAAAAATTTAATATCTTTTTTCAATTAGGACACAACTGGCGACACCACAGAAAAATCTTCAAGGCCTTATTTGGTGTGGTGGCTCATGGGTTTCGAACCCATGCTTTGCACCGGGCCTGCACAAATCAAAATGTAAGGCAGGCCGTAAAACTGTATGAAAAACTTGTGCAGGCCAAAAGAAAATAGGATGGGGGGAAACCGTTTAAAGAAAATAATAACAATAAAAAATATTTTTTTCCTCCGCAGGCCGCAAAGTGGGTGCTGGTGGTCCGCATGTCATCTGCGGGCCGTATGTTGTGCATGCCTGCTTTAAAGTGATGACACCACTGTAAAAAAACATTAGTGGGAAGAATAATAATGCAAATACCTTTAGGGTTTGGATGTCATGGTGCAGATTATAGATAGTTTCCATCACTTTGCGGATAAAAGTGTATGTTGACTGCAAGCACGGGTTCACAACACCGTCCTTATAGCCCTGGACAGACTTGTAGACGGATTGGTCTTTAAGGTCAGACAATAAATACCTGGAATAGATGGTTTTAATTTTTAATAATTTAATTTTAATACATTTTAGTTAATTAAATGGAACAATCAAATCTGTTAAAGTTTCTGTAGAGGTTCTAAATTCATAAAACATTGTTTCAATAGCTAAAGTAGCAGTGGCCTAACAATTTACCACATTTATGGTGAAAAAAAGTGTTTTTGAGCAGAAATTTCGGCTAATTTCTGCTCAAAATGTGGCATCTAAAAGCTGAATCTGCGTTTTTACTAAATTCAACTGTATTGAATTTTGATTCACATAATTCTGGCACATGATTCTGACACATAATGTTTCTTACTACATGGACTTAAACCTCTTTAAGCAGCAGCACTGAGGCATTGTACAAGTATTAACTCACTTTGTAGCCTCTGTCATGTTAGTTTTATAATACTTCATGAACCTTGCTTCCATTGCCTTAATCGCAGCATGTGCATGGCCTGGTAGATCAATTTCAGGAATGACTTCAATATGTCTAGCTTTAGCATGGTGCAGAATGTCTCTGTTTAATTGAAAAACAAGAACTTTAAATTCATGTCTTTTGAAATATTTATTTTTGGCTTATAATTGTCTGAGTCAAACGTTGAAGGCAATCTGTAGCTTTCTCACAGGACAGAATTCTTTAACTTAAAAACAAGTGTGAAATATGAATTTTAAAAAAATCTTCCCACATCTTACCTGTAATCATCTTGTGTTAAGTATCCAGAGCCAACATTTTTATGATAAGGCCCTGAGCCCAGAGCAGGTATGATACACTTCTTTTCAGTCAGGTCATGGCAACGCTGAGCACCAATCTGTCAAATGGTATTTGGCAAATGAAATCTTTGCTGTGGCTCAATTTACATTTTAGCATTATGCATATGACTGATAAAAGTTGAAATAGTCTGCGGCTGTTGGCTTCCTTAAAAAATTTAATTTGGACAGTACAAAACTTTGTTGAGGATCTCCAACACTGTCATTCATTAGAGAATCAGATTTAGTCAAAGCAATATATTTACATTAACAGCCAAGTTATACCATGGCATAAAGTTGTAACTAAGTGCTTTGCATTTTAATCATTAAAAAATTGAAGTAAACTTTTTTTTTTCAAATCATTTTTGAGTACCTTGGTTAGTTCCACCAAACCAGGAATCTCCAACCGCCAACCCTCATCATCGGTCAGGTGCAGGTGAAACTTGTTGAGTTTATACATGGCCATAAGGTCAAGATACCTGCATTCATATTGACCAGATTACATGTGAAGTGCAACAATGAAATGAAAGAATAACGAGGTCAAATGCATTTACTTCTCCATTGTTATACTGCGGTTAAGTAAGTCGTTAGATTTCTTAAGGATGTATCAAGTGACTTAAATCCTCTCCAACTCCTATTGTGTAAATTAGGAGAGTACAAATGAAATGCACCCGGTTGAAACTATTTGATTTATTAAATGCAGTCACAACAATTCAATATTTTATGGTTCAATCAAACATGAACGTCTTCATTTATTAAAAAAAATATTCTAACTATGAAATTGGTTTTCTCTGTTGGCCTATAGTGTAAATTTTTAGTTTGGCAAACCTTTTTATGGTATTCTTGTCCTGAAAGTTCCTGGCTATATCTAACATAAACCCTCTGTACCTGAACCTAGGGCCATCTAGTATAATTGTTTCCGGAATCTGGTAAGACAAAAGCAAAACTTAGCTATAATTGAAGTTGGAAATTTGGGAAAAGAAGGGGGGGGGGGAGAGATTAAATTCTTTTGGGGTTATCAAAACTAATAATAGCAATAATGTAAATAAAGTATGTAATATTCCATTCAAAGTGTCAAGGGTCTGTTGTGGGTTAATATTAAGTTGGTCCTCCCAGGATCACAACCAGGTTCTATTTCATCTCATTAAATTATATTTCAATTTTTTTCCCCGAGGTCTAATTCAAGGGCTAATAACATTCCTAGACATGTACTTATGAAAGATGTATGGTGAGCTTTCATATCTTAGAAGTAGATTTAGAAGTAGTATGCATTGTTAGCATTTATTAAAAGAAAAATTTGGTTGGTTTGAAAAATGTGGCTGGTTATAGTATTAGGCTCTTTAAAATAGGCTTCTGACTCTGGCTTTGTCTGGTTGTCTCAGGTGCTTGATTGGACAACATAGGTTATTGATTTTGGATAGTTAACAAAGGCAACTGATTTTGGATAATTAACTTGAGCTACTGATTTGGATGGTTAACTTAGGCTGCTGGCTTTGATTTTGTACAATGCAAGGAGTCATTGAATCCTGTTCAAAATTGGAGAAATTGATACATTTAATCATAAGTATAAACTACTGTGTCAAGATTGTTTAATTCAATAACTTCTTAGTTCAACCCTTGTCTAGCTATTTTGTAAAGTGGACACAATTTCTTAGTCTCAGGAAAAATTACAAGATTAGTGAATATAAGCTTGTCACTTTTATGAGAAAAAAACTTTTCTAGGGATATTAAATAGGACACAGCTGATCTTGTCATACATAAGAAATGACCATGAATAGACACTTACAAATTTAATTTTATTAGACTAAATATTAAATGGAGGTATTTTGTTTCTTGTCTCTCTATCTCCTCCAACTCGACCCCCTCCCCCCCACAATAATTGAGTTGTTTTCAGATGTAGATAGAACTGACATTTCCATCTTTATCAGCCAGACTCAGCAGAGTTTGCATTGCATTGAATCCTCCTGCCTTCCCGGAAGCTTTGATGATAATTGTTTTTGATGCTGGGTTGACAGACAGGTAGTAAGCTGGGGATGACAATCAAAAATGGATTTTCTCTGCTCTCTTTAAATAATTGGAAAGGTCACAATGGCTAAATTTCTCCTGCAGTCAAAAATGACGGAAAGGGCTGCAGTGAAAGGTCTGGGTAGAGGCCTGGGGAGAGGAGCAGGGTAGGAGGAGATTCTTTTAAAAGCAGTCAATTAAGTAGATAAGTAAGATTTAGAAGCTCCTGCTTATCATCATATTTTATTTCTCCTTGACTTACATATTTTTTACGTCCTCTCTCAATGATTACAAACAGTTCCTATAAAAGTTCTGGTATGAATTATTAAATGTATATCAATCATTACGTATCTTTACCAATCTTACATCCGATTAAAAGACACCCCTAAATAACCCTTCCCACAAACACTGCCGCAAAACAAACTCTCCCCCCCCCCCCTTTTTACATATATACATGCCAACCTAATTGTTTTATAGCTACTGATAACAGTGGAAACGAAATATCAAGACTGATACTTACATTCTTCAATAATAACTGCTTGACCTTTGAACTGTACTTTGATATCTTCTTCAATAAATCTGATAAAATATTCACTTGGGATGTCTTTCAGGTGGCGCAAATTCCAGATTTCTAATAGATAGAGAAGCACATCATGATAATGATGTAATAGAATTGACATTATAATGTACTTATGGGGAATGCCACATACAAAGATATATGTTATATAATATCGAAATGTGTTTATGACAAAAGATTGATGTTGAAAGTGTCTGAACCAAACTCTTATTTTGAGAGAATGTGTTAGAGAAACAATGGTGTTGAGAGTGTTTGAGAGACAAACTCTGGTATTGAGATCGTGGGATAGATAAAACGAAACACTGGTGTCTCCATTGTTGCCCAGACCGCTGTGGATGTCCTACCTGACAGCATGTTCCCTTCACCCCAAAGCAGCGTGTCAGTGACCACTACCCATGGCTCCTGGCGTACGTTAATGGTGGACAAGGGCTTGTATGTTGAGATCACCAAAGGACTGGACAGTTGGACGGCAAAATTGAACAATTATGTTTACAACTTTAAAAAAAATAACTATAATGCATTAAATTAGAATCAAGCACCACATTTAATAATAACTATGTACAATAAATATGCACGATGTTAAGTAAAATCACTTCATGAATAGGTACAAGAAAAATATAGGCCACACTGACATTGACAGCTCTAACACAGGTTTGGTTTAGAAATTTAAACTTTATCCTTTCTTTTCAAAATCACTGGTTACATTGTTTTTGTCAATAAGCTATGGTGGCCCAGACACTAACAAGAAGGCATGTTAGACTTACGTGGGCAACACAGGGATCGGGGCTCTGCCCAGATCATCAACAGAGAATGAATAAAATCTGTCCTCTGGCAAGGGTGGGTTAACTTTCTCGTAATTATATTTTCTCCAAGTCTTCGGGGAATGAATGCGATAGGCAAATTTGAAAGGATCACCAGACGTGCTTGCAATGGTTCGGGGTTTGAACCCTGGGAACACTATGTACCTGTTGCAATCGAAAGGTAAAGTATTGTTATACACACAATGTACATGTTGCGATTCAAAGGTAAAATATTGGTATAAACACTATTTACCTATCGCGATTGAAAGGTAAAATATTGGAGCAAACACTTAAAACTAATACGCGTTTGTGAAGTTAGTATCAACTTATTTTTATAAACATTAAATAAATACCATGAGCCAGGATATTAATGCCATACAAATTTTAATGCATGTGTTTAGTTTTAAATGAAAATATTTGTAGCGTCTCATTAAGGACATCATGCTAAATATAAAAACGGTTGGTTAGCTATAATTTTGATCATACTCTTCATCATCATCTTAAGCAATGTATTTTTTAATAAATGTTGCCCCCAAAATTACTTATTTGGTTGATATTTTCTATTTTTACAGATCAGTTATTGCAGCATGGAGATAAATTTATCCTTTCTTACTTGTAAGGCAAGGTTGGGGAGGGGGGGGGTTAAAGATTGATGTTAATGTGTCATTATATTAATGGCATGATAGTCTTTGTATTAATGGCATGATAGTCATTATATTAATGGCATGATAGTCATTATATTAATGGCATGATAGTCGTATTAATGGCATGATAGTCCTTGTATTAATGGCATGGTAGCCGTATTATTAATGGCATGATAGTCGTTGTATTAATGGCATGATAGTCGTTGTATTAATGGCACGATAGTCGTTGTATTAATGGCATGATAGTCGTATTAATGGCATGATAGTCTTTGTATTAATGGCATGATAGTCGTATTAATGGCATGATAGTCGTATTAATGGCATGATAGTCATTATATTAATGGCATGATAGTCTTTGTATTAATGGCATGATAGTCATTATATTAATGGCATGATAGTCATTATATTAATGGCATGATAGTCATTATATTAATGGCATGATAGTCGTATTAATGGCATGATAGTCCTTGTATTAATGGCAAGGTAGTCGTATTATTAATGGCATGATAGTCATTGTATTAATGGCATGATAGTCATTGTATTAATGGTATGATAGTCGTATTAATGGCATGATAGTCGTATTAATGGCATGATAGTCGTTGTATTAATGGCATAATAGTCCTTGTATTAATGGCATGATAGTCATTGTATTAATGGCATGATAGTCGTTGTATTAATGGCATGATAGTCGTATTAATGGCATGATAGTCGTATTAATGGCATGATAGTCGTATTAATGGCATGATAGTCGTATTAATGGCATGATAGTCATATTAATGGCATGATAGTCTTTGTATTAATGGCATGATAGTCATATTAATGGCATGATAGTCGTATTAATGGCATGATAGTCATTATATTAATGGCATGATAGTCTTTGTATTAATGGCATGATAGTCATTATATTAATGGCATGATAGTCATTATATTAATGGCATGATTAATGGCATGATAGTCGTATTAATGGCATGATAGTCCTTGTATTAATGGCATGATAGTCGTTGTATTAATGGCATGATAGTCGTTGTATTAATGGCATGATAGTCATTGTATTAATGGCATGATAGTCGTTGTATTAATGGCATGATAGTCGTTGTATTAATGGCATTATAGTCATTATATTAATGGCATAATAGTCGTTGTATTAATGGCATGATAGTCGTATTAATGGCATGATAGTCCTTGTATTAATGGCATGATAGTAGTTGTATTAATGGCATGATAGTCCTTGTATTAATGGCATGATAGTCATTGTATTAATGGCATGATAGTCGTTATATTAATGGCATGATAGTCATATTAATGGCATGATAGTCTTTGTATTAATGGCATGATAGTCGTATTAATGGCATGATAGTCGTATTAATGGCATGATAGTCATTATATTAATGGCATGATAGTCTTTGTATTAATGACATGATAGTCATTATATTAATGGCATGATAGTCATTATATTAATGGCATGATAGTCGTATTAATGGCATGATAGTCGTATTAATGGCATGATAGTCCTTGTATTAATGGCATGATAGTCGTTGTATTAATGGCATGATAGTCGTTGTATTAATGGCATGATAGTCATTGTATTAATGGCATGATAGTCTTTGTATTAATGGCATGATAGTCATATTAATGGCATGATAGTCATTGTATTAATGGCATGATAGTCATTATATTAATGGCATGATAGTCATTGTATTAATGGCATGATAGTCGTTATATTAATGGCATGATAGTCGTTCTATTAATGGCATGATAGTCATTATATTAATGGCATGATAGTCGTATTAATGGCATGATAATCGTTGTATTAAAGGCATGATAGTAATTATATTAATGCCATGATAGTCGTTGTAATATTGGCATGATAGTCGTTATATTAATGGCATGATAGTGACTGTTTTAATGGCATGATAGTCATTATATTAATGGCATGATAGTCGTTGTATTAATGGCATGATAGTCATATTAATCGCATGATAGTCGTAATAATGGCATGATAGTCGTTGTATTAATGACATGATATTCATTATATTAATGGCATGATAGTCGTTGTATTAATGGCATGATAGTTTTAATGGCATGATAGTCGTATTAATGGCATGATAGTCATTATATTAAAGGCTTGCTAATCATTATCTTAATGGCCATGTAGTCATTATCTTAATGGCATGGTAATGGGTTTTTAACGTCAACCTACTCAAAACGGGTTCCATTAAGTCAAACTTTTAATCGAATTTTTAATCTCAGAGCTTAAACTCATTATTTAGCCGGAAGTGAAGGCCATTTACCAGTTGGGGAACGTGTCCGTCACCGCCAGGTTACAACAGGTGGTGAAGATGCGAATACTCTTGGACTGACTGGGCGGTATCGATCCGAAGTCCAGGGTGGGCGCGATGCTGTAAAGGTGACCGTTCCAGTGGTAGAGGATGACGCCATATTGTTTTTTCTCCAGCCCGTCGTTGTAAGGGTAATGCTCTGGCTCTAGCGTCAACAGCTGATGGGAAGAATGTTAACATAATAGCAATGTAGTTTGTATCTTTGTAAGGGTTTCAGCCTCTAGCGTCAGTAGCTGATTGGAAGAATGTTAACATATAGCTATTTAGTTTGTATCTTTGTAAGGGTTTCAGCCTCTAGCGTCAATAGCTGAGTGAAAAAAAGGTGAGCATAAATCCAAGTGTGTTTGTATTAAAGATCTACAGATGGGATTTAACGACTCATTGAGACAGAGTAAAGTGTAATGAATTATAAATGACGGTGCCCTAAGAATGGTGTTCAATTTTGTAACGGGGCCAGTTTTGTATGATTAGTTTGGAAAAGAAAATGTTGTCGATTTGTTTAGACATTTTAAAGCTATAATTTTTAATTCGTTTACCAAATCAAACCATTTACCTGATTGAAGAATATCTGCCACCCGAGTCCAGGAAATTCTGTGTTTCCATTGTTGGTCAGGGTAACTTCTGCCTCATAAACAAAATCTCTGTGCACAGAATCCTTGGAATCAAAGTGAAATAAAGTCAAAGGATGTTAGCAGTCATGTTACCAGAGCCTCGAAAATATTTGGAGCTAAGCATTCACATTTTTTTTTCCAAGCTATACTAACATGATTCTCCCTTTAATTATCATATAATGGGGAACCAGTTATACATTTATTCCAATTCACATTCTGTAACGGACACCAGGATATATAGTTATTCCAATTCACTTCATAAAATGGGCATTAGGATATAGAGTTATCCATATTCACTTCATATCAAGGGAACCAGGCAATGTGGGTATCCATTTGCACTTCATATAACGGGCACAAGACAATGTGGGTATCTCTGTGCACTTCACATGACTGGCACTAAGATAAGTCTCACATGTTCAAAAGATTAAACTTTTAGGCACACTTAAAAGGTCTCGAAAGTCGATTAGAAACCAGGTCAGTAAATAAAATGAATGCAACCAAACACGGCATAATAATAAGTCTTAGAAGAAAGACACGTCTTAATGATATATCTTATAAGAAGAAAATGTCTTATAAGAATAAGAAAGACAGGTCTTCATGATATATCTCATAAGAAAAACAGGTCTTAATAATGTCTTAGAAGAAATAAAAGTCTTAACAATATGTCTTATAAAAAAAGACACGCCTTAATCATGTTTCTTATAAGAAAGACAAGTCTTACATTTACTAAACATTCCTAGACAAAAGAAAAGGTCAAACGAAATCAACAGAAAATAAATACACCCCCTGCATGAGATTCAACTGAATGTTGCAGAGATGCCCGAGTGATACTATCCAGAGCTTTGGAAAGTGACTATTTCTAAACAACAGTGCCGAATTAAGGCCTGCTGAGGAGTAGTCGCTTTGCCCGACCCCCCACCCCCACCCCATTTTTTTTTCTCCCCAAATAATCCACATCAGTTATGTTGAAGTCCAGTCATCTTTTAGGTAAAAATCACGAATGTCAAACGAAAAAGTCTAACTTCACATTTCTGGTCACTTACTTACAGTCTTAATCAGCGCTAACATTCCAGTGTTTCTTTTCACACCAGACCTCATCAAAAAGACGACATTCTCTCACCGTCCATACGACGACTTATAGCCGTCATCAAAAGACCACATTCTCTCACCGTCCTAATGATGACTGATAGCCGTCATCAGAAGACGACATTCCCTCACCGTCCAAACGATGACTTATAGCCGTCATCAGAAGACGACATTCCCTCACCGTCCAAACGATGACTTATAGCCGTCATCAGAAGACGACATTCCCTCACCTTCCAAACGATGACATATAGCCATCATCAGAAGATGACATTCCCTCACCGTCCAAACGATGACTTATAGCCGTCATCAGAAGACGACATTCCCTCACCGTCCAAACGATGACTTACGTCTTAGGCAAAGTTTACAACTCTTTTTGTTTCCTTTTCTTTTAGTTTTTAGTTTTAGTTTTCTCCCCTTAATTTCATACAGTTGCTATGCAGGAAGTTTTCCGGAGACGCCCATCACTAACAAATGTCACGTCAATAAAACTATGCTCAAAATCAAGTCACTTTTGGTGATGATTAGTGTTATGACCTTGCAGCAATAAGAGCGGCCATCGACAGCATAGCGTACGTCACCTCTTGCAATTTTGTGAATAGTGTTAATTGATTTAACAACGTTGTTCATCATACGGTCGAGATTGGCGTGATGGATTATGTTAATAATATACAAATATATTTGAGTAGTCCTCCATGCTTAAACAAACTGCACAAAGCAAAAACATCCAATTTTCTTAAATTAAGAATAAAATACTTACCTCAGGTCCATTTGCTATGACCGTGTATCGGAGATCAATCATCTTAGCGAAGTGATCCACATCCGCCTGACTGAAGCCACCGGTGAGACCTGAGAGTGGTAAAGTGCAACCTAAAATCAACACTGCTACTACATGAAATGCCAAGTCAGGTCACTGACTCTAAAAATGTTTCCGCTCTATATCAAGAGAAAGATAACTTAGATTATTAAAAAAAAATTTAAAAACGTACCCTATTAGATAAAAACTAAATAAGTTGATATCCCCACGCTTTTCAACGTCATATATTTGTGGGGCCCTTTTAGCCCGGACAACAACAGAGACCCGACCTGTCGGCATTGCAGCCTGTTCCCCGAAATTTTAGCGCATCTGTAGACTGAATGCCCAGCACTAGATTCCTACCAAATTATGGCACAGTCCAGCAGATGGAACTGGTTGGCCCATGAACTAGCCGGCACAGTCCAGCAGATGGAGCTGGTTGGCAATGTACTAGCCGGCACAGTCCAGTAGATGGAGCTGGTTGGAAATGTGCTAGCCGGCACAGCCCAGCAGATGGAGCTGGTTGAAATATGCTAGCCGGCACAGCCCAGCATATGGAGCTGGTTGGCATTGTACTATCCGGCACAGTCCAGCAGATGGAGCTGGTTGGAAATGTCCAAGCCGGGGCTTTAAGAGCGTAAGCTCAAGCATTAAACATGTGTGCTTGCTAGTCCGGATAAAATAAACGGAATTGTGAAACGTTTGGGAGGGGGGGGGGGCAAGAATTGAAGGACTGAAAGAGATGATGAGCAAGTAACGGTACGCATCTTTAGGATCAGTCGTGTACGCATGTTTAGGATCAGTCATGTACGCATTTTTAGGATCAGTCGTGTACGCATGTTTAGGATCAGTCGTGTACACATGTTTAGGATCAGTCATGTACGCATGTTTAGGATCAGTCGTGTACACATGTTTAGGATCAGTCGTGTACGCATGTTTAGGATCAGTCGTGTACGCATGTTCAGGATCAGTCGTGTACGCATGTTTAGGATCAATCATGTACGCATCTTTAGGATCAGTCGTGTACGCATGCTTAGGATCAATCATGTACGCATCTTTAGGATCAGTCGTGTACGCATGCTTAGGATCAGTCATGTACGCATGTTTAGGATCAGTCATGTACGCATGTTTAGAATCAGTCGTGTACGCATGTTTAGGATCAGTCGTTTACGCATGTTTAGGATCAGTCGTGTACGCATGTTTAGAATCAGTCGTGTACGCATGTTTAGGGTCAGTCATGTACGCATGTTTAGGATCAGTCGTGTACGCATGTTTAGGATCAGTCATGTACGCATGTTTAGAATCAGTCATGTACGCATGTTTAGGATCAGTCGTGTACGCATGTTTATGATCAGTCGTGTACGCATGTTTAGGATCAGTCGTGTACGCATGTTTATGATCAGTTATTTCGAGACTGAATTGATGGAAACTGTTGCCCATGGATGTTTGAAGTAGCAATTATGAAGCTGTTACCTGGAGATGTTTGATGAATGAAGTATGAAGCTGTTTTTCTGGAATTTTTCATAAGGGAATATGAAGCTGTTGCCCAGGGATGTTTGAAGAAGGCAGTATGACGTTTTTGGTTGGAGATTTTTGAATTTGGAATCATGAATCTGTCACCTGGAGATTTTTTAATAAGACGTGTGAAGCTGATGCTCTGGGATTTTTTTAAAAGGGAACGTGGAGCGTTTGCCCAATGCATTTTGAATATCGTAGTTTGAAGCAGTTAGTCACGGGTGATCTATCAGGCTCAAACCCCGTGGAGATTTGAAAAAGGAAGCATACATCATTGCTTTAACAAGAAGCTCGGTAGTCATTGTTCGGGGACATTGTATGATTCCAAACTGGAGTTCGCTTCTGACTGACGCCAATGGTCCACGCTGAGAGCTCCCAGGTGCAGACACGAAGCACGAAACTCCCGCGAAATGAAACTGTTACTTTTAATATCATTTAATGAATAAAATACATTTGACTTTGAACATAGCGCAGCCAAAGATTGCTGAAGCATTATTTTTCTGACCACAACAGAACCAGGTTCTAAGCTTAGGTATTAAACTTGGGTATTAAAACCCTGGGGCTAAACTCAAGTTTTTCCAGTAAATTTAATGAAATTTTATTCAAATTGCTAAAAAATTATTTATATTTGATTTCATTACTGATCAAACTGAAAACGAAATGTCCTAAGCATAAGGGTTATTAGTACAAGAACAACTCACCGAACCAGTTGAACTCCATTATGGTGACTACAGCAATTATGAATATCAACAAGCAGATGCCGACACGTGATCCTCTCCCCACCTTCCATCTCAGAAACATACGCGCCATCTTGGTTCTGCCAACAATTTCTTAACTTAACGTCCTTTTACACATCGCCAGTTTTGTCCTGATTGTAAGATATCAGATTATATGAAACACAAACGCGTCCTTTCCTAATTGTAAGATATCAGATTATATGAAACACAAACGAGTCCTTTCCTGATTGCAAGATATCAGATTATATGAAACACAAACGAGTCCTTTCCTAATTGTAAGATATCAGATTATATGAAACACAAACGAGTCCTTTCCTAATTGTAAGATATCAGATTATATGAAACACAAACGAGTCCTTTCCTGATTGCAAGATATCAGATTATATGAAACACAAACGAGTCCTTTCCTAATTGTAAGATATCAGATTATATGAAACACAAGCGAGTCCTTTCCTGATTGTAAGATATCAGATTATATGAAACACAAACGAGTCCTTTCCTAAATGTAAGATATCAGATTATACTAAACACAAGCGAGTCCTGTCCTGATTGTAAGATATCAGATTATATGAAACACGAAAGAGTCCTTTCCTAATTGTAAGATATCAGATTATATGAAACACAAACGAGTCCTTTCCTAATTGTAAGATATCAGATTATATGAAACACAAACGAGTCCTTTCCTAATTGTAAGATATCAGATTATATGAAACACAAACGAGTCCTTTCCTAATTGTAAGATATCAGATTATATGAAACACAAGCGAGTCCTTTCCTAATTGTAAGATATCAGATTATATGAAACACAAACGAGTCCTTTCCTAATTGTAAGATATCAGATTATATGAAACACAAACGAGTCCTTTCCTAATTGTAAGATATCAGATTATATGAAACACAAGCGAGTCCTTTCCTAATTGTAAGATATCAGATTATATGAAACACAAACGAGTCCTTTCTTATTTGTAAGATATCAGATTATATGAAACACAAGCGAGTCCTTTCCTAATTGTAAGATATCAGATTATATGAAACACAAACGAGTCCTTTCCTAATTGTAAGATATCAGATTATATGAAACACAAACGAGTCCTTTCCTAATTGTAAGATATCAGATTATATTAAACACAAGCGAGTCCTGTCCTGATTGTAAGATATCAGATTATACTAAACACAAGCGAGTCCTGTCCTGATTGTTAGATATCAGATTACATCAAACACAAACAATCTTGCCATGATTATAAGGTATCAGATTATATCAAAAAGAGGCAACCTCCAACTGTTTAGAATGATATTACTGATAGAATATTTTGTTTATTACCATGTATACATTTTGGGGAAAGATTTAACATTTCTAAATGTACAATTAAGATTAAAAAGCTACACACGAATTCAAACTTTAAAAATAATATCCATGAAGCATCATAGATCTTCTAATCAGAAATTGTTCGCGTCTTTCATTTCAAATGTCTACACAATGCGATCATATCCCACTAGAAAAATGATTTTTTCCTGGAGAAAAAAAATCTAGTGAACAACTACAATGACTTCATGTCCGTTGGAATTAATTTCCATCTGTCACTAGACATTACAAGGTTAATCCGTACCGGAGGAAATGTCAATAGATCCAGACTCCCGGGAGACCCGAGAGAAAATGTTTGTGGCGGTTAAATCCCAGGGGCGTGCACTCATGCCAGCTCTACACAGGTTGGTCAGGCCAATGCTTTTAGGAATGACTGGCTTCAACTGTACACAGGTTGGTCAGGCCAATGCTTTTAGGAATGACTGGCTTCAACTGTATACAGGTTGGTCAGGCCAATGCTTTCAGGAATGACTGACTTCAACTCTACACAGGATGGTCAGATCAATGCTGTCATGAATATCTGATGTCAACACTACACAGGATCATCAGGTCAATGATGTCATGAAGGTCTGATGTCAACTCTACACATGATGGCCAGGTCAATGCTGTCATGAATGTCTGATGTCAACTGTACACGTGTTTGTCGGGGCAATGCTTTCAGGAATGACTTACTTCCTTAAGTATAGAGCTTTAATTTAATATTCGATTTTTTTGTTTTCTTCCCCTTCTCTTGGAACTCCTTGCAGTCGTCCGGGTCAATAGATATCGTTCTGCATCAAAGGGATTTCGGGTTGGCCAGAGTCTCTAAGTTCCTGCTTCCATTATATCAACACCTAAAAGATCAAATGACAGTGCTCCGGAAATATGGCAAGGACATCCATACGAAGATCATGCTCTTCATGGAAAAGCTGTCCTGGAAAACATAGAAAAATAAAAATACATTAATGACACATTATAATTAACATTCTAAAAATATTTAAATTAATCAATTATTCGTAACCTCGGAAATGGGGTTCTTGATCGTTTTCATATCGTGTTGACAATGCTCTGGAAGAGTTGACGCATGCTCTGGAAGAGTTGACGCATGCCCGACTCAAAATTGGAAAAGAAAAATGTTTTAAAAGGAACACAGTTTATTTTTAAATTAGACTCACGGAAGAAAAGATGAAAAATCCATATCAAACAAAAGGCTGCTAGAGTCCCAAAATGTCACCCCCACCCTCCAAGTTACATATGTCACCCCACCCTCCAAGTCCCAAATGTCACCCCACCCTCCAAGTTACATATGTCACCCCACCCTCCAAGTCCCAAATGTCACCCCACCTTTCCAATCCACAATGTTATCTCCACTCAAAATACAGTAAAAAATCTCATTGTATAATCTGCCCAGCAAGCGTTGCGGAGTTGGGGGGGGGGGGTGGGTGGGTTCATAGTTCAAACGTTGCTAACTGATGAAGTGATTGAATGCTATAAACGCACACCAGAAACATGGCAGCCGATAAAATGTTTTAATGGGGGGGGGGGGGGGGGGGGTGGGTTCATAGTTCAAACGTTGCTAACTGATGAAGTGATTGAATGCTATAAACGCACACCAGAAACATGGCAGTCGATAAAATGTTTTAACATTTAAACAACCTCCTTAACGAGTGATACACACCAGTGGTTCTAAAACCCTGGCTTGAAATATCACATTGGATCTCATTACATTTTTGTTGGCTCGGATACATACAGATCGTCTCTACATTAAAACAAAGAAGTCATCAGGTACGCTACGAGGTCGAGATGAAATAATTATGGGTCACCAGAAGAAGATGTGGGACCCCCGCCCCCTAACTACGTCCCTCTTAAAAAAGAAACTCTGACTATCCAGTGTCACTTTGTCTAATGACGTCATTAACTGGCATACGCACCACATACACATCAATTAGCCATCATGTCTGCGCAGCTAGAAACGGTGTTAGTCTTTGACCGAATGAAAACAATTCATTTTAACACAACACAGACGCTAAGAATGAAAACAAGTCATTTTAACACAACACAGACGCTAAGAATGAATACAAGTCATTTTAACACAACACAGGTGACAATAATGAAAACAAGTCATTTTGACACAACACAGATGCTAAGAATGAAAACAAGTCATTTTAACACAACACAGACGCTAAGAATGAAAACGAGTTATTTTAACACAACACAGGTGACAATAATGAAAACAAGTCATTTTAACAAGACACGAGGCTAAGAACGAATGATCAAAGACATTGAATAGAGGTCAGACTCAACAAACAGGCTTTTAGGATGTATTATTATCGGCCGCTATAACTTATACAGGGGCTGTATTCTTTGACCTCCGCCAGGCCTATGACCGGGTCTGGAGGTCCGGCTTATTGTTAAAGCTGCAAAGGCTGCCAAATATGTACAGCTGGAATTTCCAGTTTTCTTACAAACCGGGAAATCAAAACAAAACTGGGCAGCGAAACCTCCAGGAAGAGAACATTGGAAAGAACTTTTCATTCAAGGGTCAGCCCTAAATGACACTGTCTTCTTAGCCTATATCAATGACTTGCGACAAAATCTAGCAACTAATACTGCGATGCATGCATATGATTTGGTAATCTGGAGAACCGTTAAAGATGTCCATCGCCTGCAACAGCTGTTACAGCAGGACATTTCGTCTATCATCAGGTTCGTACAGCGGTGGCACATGGAAATTATCACCAAGAAGACGGTCGATTTAATTTTCATCCAACGGGCGAACCATTCTCCAAAGGCGATCGAGCTAAAGGTGGGCGATGTAGCGCTCCAGTAGGACAAGCAACTAGCAACTGGTTTACCGGGGGTCAAATTGGATCAAAAGGTGCAAATGCTTAATTTCGTACAAGATCTCTGCTCCCAGGCAACCGCCAAGCTCAATCTAATGAAAAAAAATTGTCCTGCACAAGTTTGGGCGCAGGAGCAAGTACGCTTAGAGCTCTATTTCTAGGGAAGTGAACGATCAGGAATGGACTACATCCGGTCCAGTCCATTTCAAGCAAGACCGCATTGGCAAAGTTGGGGCGAATCCAGAATCAGGCTTTGAGATTCATCCGTAGCGCATTCAGAGCCACATCCACAGCTGCTGTAGAAGTCTTGGCCAATGTTGAGCCGCTAGAATTAAGGAGGGAAAAGGCAATTTTAAGTACTTTCAAGGGGTACAGACGGCAGAATGAAAAGCAACCGTCGTTCCAAATACGAACAGCTGGGTAGCGGGCAGGCGACAAAAGAGATCATCATTCATGCATCAAGTAGCGGAGCTTGAGCAGACACGTAATAGAGAAAGACTGACCCTTATTCCAGCCAACCCGCCATATGCGGAACCCTCACGTCCCTTTATCCACATGGCCTTGACCGATCCAGCAGTGACGAAGCGCAGCCCTGAACATGTCCAGACAGCGGCTGCCCATGGCTTTGTATTCGAATACATCAGTGAAAGTGTTCACAGACGGCTCTGCCAATTTGAGATAAAGACCTGCTGGGTAAGGTGCGCTCATACTGTACCCAGCAGGGAGACCACCAAATCAGGAACTCTTGGGACCCTGTGGGACTGCAGCATCAAATTTTGATGCGGAACTAGGATATATCCACAGGACCCAGGAGAGTGTATATCACACATTGAAAGGAAGGGATCTTGCGGGGCTCGACGTGATTGTCTACTCGGAATCAAGATTTGCTCTTGAGATCTTGGGAAAGAGAGCAGGTACCACGCAAATAGTTGGGGCCATCATAGATGACGTGTCAAAGTGTCCTCGTTTTATAGCCATTTTCATTGTTTCTATAGTATAGTAGTTACTATCCTAGTGTCTCATTTTTGTTTACTTATTTTACATGTTTTAATAATTGTAAAGCGCTTAGAGCTTTATGGTAAGCGCTATATAAAAATGCCTAAATAAATAAATAAATAAATTAATGACGTGTGCAAGATTGGTGAACGAGGAGGAACGGTGACAGTGCAGTGGATCCAAGGACATTTTAACGTCAGTGGCAATGAAAAAGCCGACTCTCTGGCGAAAACCGGGACTGCACAGTCTCAGTCAGAAGTACCAGTAACACATCTGGGAATCAAGAACTGGCTGGCAGACCATTTCAGAACGAAATGTTACAATCAATGGGCAAACAACGCGATCTCCAGAGGTGTCTTTGCTAACTTGCCCTTCCTAGCTGACAAGACCCATGGTGGGGGTCGCAGACAGCAGAGTCTAGTGACGCAGATGTGCACAGAGCACTGCCCAACGGCACATACTTCTGGAGGCTAGATAACAACAGGGACCCTACCCCACGGCATCGCAGCCTGGTCCTGGCAACACTAACACACCTGTTGACCGAAAGTCCCTCACGAGATGTTCCAGGGGAAGCCAGGCTGGTGGAAGAGTCTCAATTGAGGAAAATTTTATACGGCTCAGCTCATCAGATGGAGCCGGTAGCCAATGTACAGCCGGGGTCACAAGAGTGTAGTCTCAGACCCTCACAAGAGGATGTCCGTTAGTTAGTAGGTAGAGTAGTTCGAAAAGGAACAGTCGCGAACCGTTGCAGTAGGCCCGATGAGCTTTGTAAGTAGCAAAACTAGGAAACAATGCGATTGCCGGTTGCATTATATCTGTTCTGTGCATTGGATGAACCAATCGATTCTGGATGATATCCCTTTCAAGGGTTTAAGATCATTTAAGCTTAGCTCCCTTGCGCCTTTAATTAAAGCAGTGGTTCTAATTCTTTTGTTTATCTAAAGCCCCCCCCACTCCTTCTACCACCACCATCAACACCAAGTTTGGCATATACAAAAGTTTTCCTATTGCCCTTGATGTCAGTGGAGGTTTCAGGTTTCTAATAACATTTGTAGGTGAATCTGAATTCAAATGTTCAAATTTAAGCATTTATTGAATTCATTTAAAAGTTCAAAAATAGAAATGCCAACTGTCACGTGGTCCAAGTTGATCCAACTCTACATGTCATTTTACCATAGAGTCATTTACCCCCTATCAAGTTGATCCAAATCGACACATCATTGTACCATCGAGTCATTTACCCCTATCAAGTTGATCCAACTCTACATGTCATTGTACCATCGAGTCATTTACCCCCTATTAAGTTGATCGATCTCGACACATCATTGTAACATCGAGTCATTTACCCCTTATCAAGTTGATCCAACTCTACATGTCATTGTACCATAGAGTCATTTACCCTCTATCAAGTTGATCAAACTCTACATGTCATTGTACCATAGAGTCATTTACCCCCTATCAAGTTGATCAAACTCTACATGTCATTGTACCATCGAGTCATTTACCACCTATCAAGTTGATCCAACTCTACATGTCATTGTACCATAGAGTCATTTACCCCCTATCAAATTGATCCAACTCTACATGTCATTGTACCATCGAGTCATTTACCCCGTACCCCCCCCCCCCCCCCCCCCACCCCGACAAAATAGGATGATATTATGTAAACGCGCTGCAAGTTCTACCATCTGCAGACATTTTTGTTCAGGGGGGGTGGAGGGGCGGAAAAAACCTTTGCCCTCTTAAGGTATTTTACGTAACAATTTTCTTCAATTCACAAAGACACGAATTATTAGATAGAAGACAAATCAATACATTTGATAAAAAATTATTCGGCCACTTGCTTCTAACAATCCATATCAATAAATAATGTCAGCATTTCTGGATGTCACGTACATAAGAAATCGTTGTCTGGAGCGCCACGCCCTCAAATGCCATCAGACATTTGTTTGATGATATATTGTGACATTCGTTGAAGAGA